GTCATTGTTCACGCTGGTCACAGACACTGGCATGACGGTTATGGACGTCCTTGAACTCAATTGCATGTATTTATGTCTTTAACAGGAGTCGTGACAATGCAAACGACTTTGGGTTACTGTCTAATGATTTGTGATCATCCTCCCGCTTGTGCCATTTAAAAAAAAAACTCTTAAAGTAACAATTTAAAAAAGAAAAGTTAACATTGCAACACTAAGTCCCTTAAAACTGGCGTTTTTTTTTCACTAAATTATATGGATTGTAGTAAGGTTTGTTAATTTAGAGGGTTACTGTTAAACTTGTCAATACTCTATTATATTTTCTGTATAACCAGTCTTTATTTATCAATGCTAATGCATTGAATAAAACAACAATAGTGTATGTTCAAGGAAGAACTGCCAACAGCTATAAAAGGAATAAAATACCAGAATATCAAAAAGCTTTCATCAAGATTGATGTGTATTTCTTAACATAAAATTTATTTGTACGTTTGTTTTACGTGGGAGGCATTATCATCTTTTAAGCTAAGCACAATCGGGAATTTGTCAAGTTGATTTTTTGCAACAAATATTTTTGCTTACGTTCTTTTTTAATTACTGTATTGTTCTTCATTAATTAGCATTGTTTTAGCCTACATTTCGGATTGTATAGTACCTAATAAATTTTAGCATAAACATAAACAAAGGCATGCGGAAAAGCCTTGCGTGAAAAATTAGATATTTGAGACATTAGTACATACTTGGTATACATTTCATCATTTCCTTGTTTATTTCGATGTATCCACTTTATAAACTAACTAACCACTAGATAAAATAAACGCCGTATAAAGTTAAACTTATGAATAAACTAAGTAAAAGCATAAGCAAATTTGGTTTTTCTACTAACTATTAAGGATTACATTTTTTTAAACTTATCTATTGGTAATATATTAAGCGTGTCTAGTAAAATCTTTAAGATAGGTAATCATTTTAAAAATATACAATATGTTTCTTAATTACGATATATGTTGAAATTAATGCATTAAGAATGTGACAAATAATTTCTCAAACATGGTCGATGTCGACTGAGCGGTGTCGTTATAGTGTTACCGTTCGTAATCTCATTGCGTCATAGGTTCGATTAGTGCCCATCAAGCTTGTGGGATGTTCCGGATAGAAAAAGTGACCATGGTAACAAGTCATCCGGATTCCTACGTACATTGATGATATCATACGAAGTACGTGGTTATTTAACGACAAGTTCTCTAATCATCTCAATAATTACTTTTTTATCCCCAATGGGTAATAAAAACGTATACCACAAATAATTGATACGTCAGTGTTAGTGACGTCATAGCTTTTTGTACAACTGTGCAAGTATTAAAGTTTGATATTAATGTTCCAATAAAAGTTGCTGGTTATAACTTATCTGACGAAAATTTGAGGTTTCATAACTATGTTTTTTCCGATGAAATCTAAACATCTCACTATGTTTTTCTATCTAATCCTTTTTTATGACATTCACTTATCAAGCCGACAAGTTAATTAACTAAATTAACCAAGCTAACAAGTTTTCGGTACTCTTGCTATAATTACATTAAATACTTTTCTAGAGAAGTTTAAAGCCTGCCTCGGTTCAAATTGACAATGTTAACAGAATAGTTCGACTCATCTGTTTGAACTGAACGTCCGTATCGGGCTTTAGATAAATCGAAGAAAGTGCCACTTTGGTATTACTACTGAAATCTAGTATAACACTGCCTTATTTAGCAAATGTAGTTCTCTAATTGTCCAAGTTTTCAGTTTTTCACATGCTTGATGGACAAACAATTTCAGTATTTCATTTAGTTGATGTCATATCCGTTTCATTGGATTGGTGCCAAACAAGAAACGACATCACGAAATCAAAAATCCCGGGTTTGTCCAGATGTTGTGGGAAAACCGAGCGATTATAACGGTGCCTAACAAACTCCTTACAAAAAGGATCCGTAAACACGCTTTTTTATACGATGCCCATCACCTTGACGCCTTTGTGGACCAGTATACTTCGTTACTATTGCCGCTTCCTGACTATCGTGTTAAATGAATGATAAATATCGACTCGTCCTTTGTGAACGCGTCAATTGAGATTAAGGTCATTTTAAAAATAACAAACATCTATGTATTTGTGTCGATGTATCGCGTAATACGTATGGAATTACAGTTTTCAACATTTAATTAATTAAAAACAAAAAACTATTTTTATTACTGTAAGCTATTAACTGATAAAAATAACGTTAACCCAAATCCTCCATCTGGCAACGGTGTCTCTAACGTTACTTGCGAAAATAATAACTTAAGATAATCTGCCGCCCTTCTTTTAAAAAAACAATGACACGAAAACCTCATATTTTCTGCTTATGCGTCACGTCTCGTTACTGTATTATGAAACTTTTACAACATATTAACAGGACTGGACATATGACGATTCATGGCCAAGTCTCATTTAATAAAAACAGTTTTTGTCACATGATACACGAATGTTTATTTTATATAATAATTGATAGTTCTCGTGCCTACGAATCAGTGCATCTGTGTGATGTTCGCGGATTGTGTAAGTTAGATTTCCTAGGCTTGATCAAAGTAGAAAATGATCTCATCGACTCTTCAATCAGGTCAAATAAGTTTTAATAAAGACAATTTATGAAGTCCAGAAACTAGTTCATGATACGATTAGATATTTCAACCAATTATGGCATATTATAAACAATAATATCACATGTTTTGGTTATGTAAAAATACATTAATAGTTCTTTATTTCGTCTATTAACATCTATTATGCGATCATGTCCGTGTCTACAACGGCCTTACGATTGCATATTATCAAGTAAGACGAGGATAATGACATTTGAGCATGGGGAAAATTTATACGGTGTTTGGTCACACACGTGTAATCCGATGAGGTTATTCGGGACGACCTTTATCAATGTTGCCAACATCGCACCGCGAAATTTTTTATTTACTCTATTTCGACGAAGTTGTCAAGGCGAAATGACAATACATTTCGTATTTTAAATCAAATAAGCAAGCTGTAGGAAGGAAAACCACTTGGATTATTGTTATGCGGGGTCAGGATAAAGCTTGTGAAAGCGTTGGCAGAATAACAACCACCTATAGAGATGTTGAAATACGTTATAAAGTAGAACAGAAACGTGACGCACTATCAAGATTGTTGCCTCTTAAATTATACTTGCAATAATAATGCTTTAATACGAATCCGTTTTGTGTTGTCGAATCCTGTTGTATAGAGCCTCCAGGATGTAAAGAATTTGTAACTTAGATTTGGTAGAATTTCGACATTTATAAACATTTTAATTGTGTAACGAAAAGTAATTGTATTTGATTTCAATCTTAGAGTCATTATAAATAAATGATTGAACAACTATGTCGAAAACGGATAAAAATTATGTTTTTACACTTTTTCATCCTGATCCTTCAAATATTTTCATTTAAGGAAATTATTCCTTGCCTTGTTTATATTCCTTGCATGTTTTATTAGTTTAAATAATTTTTTTGCGAAATAGTTACATGGAACACCTATTTGTTACAAAATATAGCATCGGACAACTGTATGGTAAATAAAATTAGTTGTAAACCGTAGATGTAGACATGTATGCGCGCATCGTGCTGGTAAACATAGTCATACAATATTGTATCAATTTTACATCTCTCAGACGTCTTCATAACATTTCATATTATTCACTATATTTACTCTTACGTAATTTATGTAAATGTTTTATTTATGAATTGTGCAAACTCCGATTTGCGTCGGACCCTGAGCTGGTACGATTTATTGTATTATCATTAAAACATTGACATTGGTCGTCCAATAAAATACCAATGTGAATGTTAATTTCGAATCCTTTCCTCAAATTCGGTAGTGTCCTGAATCTTTGATGTGTTTAAAAATATTTAAACATTAAAACATTGTTAGAAAAGGTGTGTTAGTTGATATTTAAGAGGGCCTCAGTGCTTTCGGCCCACACCGGTTCCGTAGTAATGAGTGCAGTGCAACCGCCCCGGCTGTCTGGATGTGCTAAGTCCGGGTGTTGTAAAATGTGAAGGCCGCCCGCCTATGGCAGCTTTAGTCGTCAGTCCCTGTGCCATTTATTTCGGACCTAACAGCTGTTACGTGGCCCGGTCCACGCAGCCTTGATTAAAAACTTCTTTCTGTATCCGTTTTCTGTACCAAACAATGCATACCTCGTAACTATGAGAATCGCTAGTAGCTTCCATCATTGCCCTTGTAGGCGTATTTTAAATTAATTTTAATAAACAGGAAGAACATTGATTTATGTTTCTCATAAGATAAAGATTTAACTTACAAATATTCACAGATTTGTGTAATCAAATTTGTTATGCATAATTCTTAATTTAGTGGCTGTTTATTTTTAAAGATGCTATACAATTGGATGTCTATTAAGTTATTTGTTTTTGATGTTTTCGTCAATGCAATGATGATCACGGATATAATCAAATTTAGACAGAATTGATCGCTTGCAACAATATACCTTAAAAACAACATTCCAATTCGAGTGTTTTATTTTTAGATCAAGAATCTAACTACACGTACGAATAGTTCATTATTTACTTGATAGTACAATCGTGCACACAAGTGTATAAGCGGTCACTGACCAAATTGTGGACAAGTCCGTTCACCTACTTCTATTTGCATTTCGTGAATCTTATTACATTATTTTGCCTGGATTTCTTTAAATTAAGCAATGGGAATTTAATGAAAAACTGTGATCTCAATTTTCATAAATTATTATTAATATAGCATGAAATTAATATTAGAAAAAAGAAATAAGATGTTTGTAAACAGATGTGTTCACGAACTTTATTGCGAAACGAATTATTATATGACTCCTCAAGTAACTGACGGACGCTTTATCTGGCGGCTCTAAACGGCCGCCGAGGTTTTCCGGCGTCGGCGTACACTTATCAATAATGCATTGTTTTTATGACAGTCGTGCATCACTCACCGAAGTTTTGGTATCCATTGTTAGAATCGCTGTCAAAATTCACGTTTTCTTGTTTATGCTGCACAAATATTATGTCACTGAAACACTGCATTCACTTGGTCCACATGTCTGGGATGGCTGGAGTTGCCGCTCAGCTGTTTCGAGTTGCCTCTCTCGCCCTCTCCGTGTGGTCGGCGCTTTACACGCGCCCGATCCAAGCGGCAAAGCGACTAGAGTCGTACTGAGAGTGTTGCAACTATTGACAACCTTTATATATGAGATCGCAAGCCGCCGGTCTACGGACACCTTTTTTTAGTTAACCGAGTATTTAATACATTAATTTAATGATTATTAAAAAGGATATTACCTGTGTTTTATGTCAGATGAAAAGATAACATTTCTCGGATACGGATATCATAAAGGTCTGTTACTTTTTAAATAAGTTATAAAAATTTGTTTTAAATTTAACCTTACATTTTAATTTTAGGTAAATTTGGACCTTTAATTTTTATTTACTTCAGAAACAGAAGTACTGCAAATCGATAAAATAAAAATGATACAATAAACTAAACGAAACAATATTCATGTCCGAGGATGTGTCGCGTGCGGTACCTACTTACCTATCTGGTAATGTTTGTGTGCGCACAGGAAAATGTCGGGCAATTAAAGAAGCAATCTAGAAGCAAAGTCACGTTGCGTGGCGTGCGACGGTTACTTTGACGGTTCCTTTAACCCCCAGTGGTTGCGCAACTCGCGGACGAGGACACGATGCATATGATGAACCTTTGAAAATCGGAAAATGAGCTGGCATCACCTTGATTCAATACGTCGTAGTTAAAATAACTCGCGTAGACCGATTCCAATGATTTTGTAAGTCCGCTTTCGGGGAAGAATGATTCATTGCTCTCATTTTTTATATGTCATATATGAGAAGTGGTCTTAAAATTTGTGATAGTAATAGGACAATACTATCCCAGCAATTTTTACTTTAGTACACTTACTTAGTACACTCACTTACTTTTAGACAAGCAGTTAGGTAGAGCTTTAAAGTTTGTCTTACAATATTTCTCTCCAGGCTTAAATTCTCGCCAGTCTTAAATATTATAGTCAATAATAACCGTGCAATTTTGTTCGATGCTATAATTAATAGTTAGGTTTACGTGAACTTTGTACTTAGAAGGCAATTTATTTGGTAGATGACGTACTCATAAATATTTAAAAACTGTGGGAATACTTTACAGTGAGTCGTGCTTTGTATAAAATATACATATTGTAGTGCGTTCTTTAAGTTGAAATAGCATTTACGTTAAGTTTTGTATAAAATTGTGGTATTTATTTGTATGAACTTATAGTTTTAATTGTAAACTGACTTCGCGACAAAGTAGTTAGCCGGTCAGATTACTTCATCGCTAATTCAAGGCTACTGACCTTGGACTTGATAAAAATTAATATGAAAGACGCATCTAGAAAACGTGTGTTTTTTTAACAAACAAGTACATCTTTAGAATTCAGCTTCGATTAAATTCTTTTATATAAGCACGATAATTGAGTTTGGAAGAATTTGTAATTAAATTCCATTTCAATAAAATGTAATTGTAGGATACAGAAATTTAATTTAACCGTGTCTTTAATTTACGATATAGCAAATGTTTTTCAACAGGTTGACAATGATAAATTTTCACTATTTCGCTAAACTTAAAAAAAAAACAGTCATAAGTGTGCTCATTTTTATCTCGACTTTAAAACGTTACAAGAAAAAAATGGTCAGCGTTTAATGAATGAAGTGAAAATGCTAATGATCAAGACTTTGGATTTAATATTGAGATTTAATATGGATAGAATGTAATAAGAAACATTGCACTGTAGCACAGTAACGATTTATTCACAAATCCCAAACGTTCCAGCTTCCATTAGAACGGATTCGTAATCAGCGCGTAATCGTGTGAAGGTACCAGTATTATAACACAACGCTATTGAGCACAGTATCTGCAAGGTTTCTGTAAAAAGTAACACGTTATAGCAACAAAAGATTGGAGCCTTTGCCTTAATTCTCAGTCCCACGCTCCACTGCAAATTAATTGGAACATTATTATGTCATTAAATTCGTAACTTTGCTGATATTTCGACAGCATCTTCAATGCTTGTATGCCTGAATAGGATAGGCTTCAAACTTCTTAAGTGGTCCCCTCGCCTGCCGACAAATAGTTTTATATCGTAAGTCAACCAAAACAATTATAACATCACATAGTAAACTATTTTTACATAATTATCACTTTTATTACCATGGAATCAAAAAACTTTAGTATCCCAAATGTAGAATCCCCATTTTTTATTATCTCATTCAATGCTTCTTCACAGCTTTATATGAGTCAGTCATTTAGATATTTGCAATAATCGCCACGACAAGCACAGCATATCTGTTGTCACGTATGTCGTTGTGGAACTTCTACTCGGTACGAGATCAAATCATCGTAGAAGCAAATTCGATGACGTCATCACAGTAACATGGTAACGAATTTGCAATAGAGCCCAACCTCTGGGTTATTGGCCGCTAATTCGCCGTATTGTGGTGCAATTCGTGCAACAATGCAGAAATTTAATGCTGAAATCGAAAATTAAATTTCAATAGCTAGATCTATTTTGCTGTCTATAATTTTGAGGTTGGTTCAAATTAAATGAGCACAGTTGTGCCGGATAACAGTACAAACGCGTTTCTCAACCAAAAATACGTATTTGAAATGATTAAAAGGTTAGTAAAAACTTTGTGTAACCTTGAACCGTCGTAATGCGCTTGCTACGGGTCATGAGTTTTACTCGTTTATGTGTCTAAGTAATAAACTCATTGAAGTAGTTATGCGTTGATTTCAACGGTAGTTTATAGTAAAAGGGCGAGGTTGCTTACGATATTGTTGAAACAATTTTCGCACGTGAAAGGGAGTCATTATCTTGGACTCTAGGGTTGACGCTTTTGAAACTGTCCGACTGAAAGAAAAGGCCAACGTGAAAGTAACAAGAACATGTATCTTAATTAAGCTTTAAATTGAAAGATTTTTTGGTCTTTAGTATTCGAATTAAGGTATCGATATCAAAATCTAAATTACATTAACATAATACTGACTACTGGAGTATTCCTTAGAACTACATTGTGCTTTTTTTTGGTCTCTTTAACATTAAATGTCGAAAGCTGGCATCCCTAGATACTTACTAAAGGCCTACTTTTTAACATCTACATACGTCAAAAGTAATTTGTTTCTGTAAGGAACGTGCGGCAAAGTTAAACGCATAGTTTTGATTTAAATGCATATGCATCGCCATTGTTTCCATTCTTTACGCTCTGTGAGTTTGTCTAATTGTCCTCTTCCCTTTCTGTTTATTGCCTTAACTCTCAACAGTTGTCCAGAAATAAAAGAGAAGGTAATTGGATTTAAAAACATGAATGTAACCCGGTATAATTAGGAAGTCATCGAATACTTCTATGGAAAAATAGCTTTTGCCCACGACTCCGTTTGCTTGGAAATAAAAAAAATGAAAATAAGTGTTCTATGTGTTCTTCCAGACTATCCTCCACATCTATGCTAAAGTTTATCGAGATCCGTTCAGCCGTTTGAGCTACAAACTCTAAAAAACATCCATCCATCTAATCTTTCGCATTTATAATATTAAGTATGATTAGTAAGAAACCAGATATTTAAAAGAGGAACTTATTTTAAAATATCTCACAAAGACATGCCGTTTTAATAGATTTTGTTTGTGATTGTTTTGTTTATCTGCTTCTTAGCGTAGAGTCCGGTTGGGCGCAGATTTACGTCGTCCTTGCGAGGAATGCGAGGTCGATGCGATCGCGGCCGCTCGTGTTCTTTGGTAGCAGTCCTCTTGTGAAACATAATAATTGTTGTTTTACACTCGATCATTCCGTATTCCGTGCATGTTATTATGACGCCAGCTCACATCCTGCGCCTTGGTCTCGCCTCGCGCCACTCAGCATTACATTGTAATCCTAGATGATTTGTCATTAGCGTTCAATTGCTTTCAATGCATTATCGAGATTTTAAAGTTTCCTTATAAGAATGTTCTTAGTGTTTATCAAAAGAGCAACAGCTCAATTTATTTCATTTATGGTTTATATTGTGTAATATTAGTGAAATGACAGGTTTGAATGAGAAATAGGAACTAAATAACTTGAACTTTCAAGTGTTACTTAAAGATCTCAAATTAAAAAAAAATATAAAGTCAGCATTCCACTAATTATATCCATGAGCTCATTACTACATTTACTAAATAGGAAAACAAACATATTTCAAGTGTTATTGGCCATACCAACAAATCATGTTAATTAAACAAGATATAAAAAACTTGCGTATAACTGCCGTTAAAGCGGCTTCCTTACTTTTTTCTGTATCTGGTTTGTTTTACTTTTAGTATTTATGCACACTTTATGTCTTGAGTCATGTAATTGACCTCTGATAGAAGGCAAAAAATTTACGCTATTGTATTCCGCATACTTACAATTTAACAGATGACAATCAAGAGTAGATTTTTCAATATGTTATTTGGGCCGCCTCCACTGTTTTACCACGTTATTGTAGGCAGAATTCGATTCCGATAGTATTCGGCCTTTCTTCTGCATAAAGAGATGTCTGAAGTCTTGAAATTCCTAGTGCACACGTCTAGCGTTTACTTATATTGCTGTCAACTTTCTAATTATGATTTGGTAACAATAACCCAGTGACTTACATTTTAAATCAATGTCGTCGGCCCTTGGGAACTATTTATCATAAGAACTTTCATTTTTTTATTGCTTTCCGTCAATATTTTTATTATAAGTCTATATTTATGATAGAATTTATTAACTAGTTGCCGCTCATAGATGATAGATGTGACTGTAAACGTTTGCCTATAATTATGGCATTAATCTTGTAGCCATGTGTAGGACTAAGCGATTGTTACTTTATATTGTCATCGATTACACTGATGTCGAGTTAGTTCAATGTCAAGGATTAAGGTACTATTAATAATACCACAATTATTTTATAATCAAATTGAATAAAATTATAGTTATACTAGCTTTCGACTCCGTCCGCGTGGTATTTAAAAAACAAAAGTCAGGAGCCATGTTCTTCCAGACTATCATCTACATCTATACCAAATTACATCGAAATCCCTTCAGCCGTCTAGGCTATAAACTCTAACAGACATCCATCCATCCATTAGTTTTTGTGTGAATCAAAATAATACAAAATGTAAATCTTTCCTCTTTTTAATATCAATATAAATTAATATTAATATATTTGTAGTCTCAATATCTCACATTGATGGGTTTTTGCACTGTCAGACGTGCTTATTTTTAGGAGACTTGAACTTTAACTTTATCCAATAAATCGATTAATGCAGTGTTAATAAAGTCACTTTAAACAAACGTAAACATTCATTTTATTCGAATCAATAAGGAAATTGAAAGTAACTACGGAAGTAGAGCTACTATTTTACGGGTGTCAACAAAGATATCTGAGAAAGCGTACCTTCTATACCTTTTGGAACGTGACGTAATGAAAAGACACGCCATTAAATATTTTAACAGTTCATTATTGTTGCGCAAAATCGAAAAAGTTCAACCCTTTGCTCGTGACACCGAGGTACATTATATTGCTTGTCATGTATTTCATAATCCAGTACCAATTTCTGTTAATATTTTAACAAATCATAAGAAACTTGCATATAACACAGCTATTGAATCTGACACCGTCATTTATATCTTCCTCCTTAATTTTTGAATATAAAATCAACACCTGTTACAGTGGTTATGACAGATGCAGCAATCAGGCTATACCTTATTGGTGGCCTAAAAGACACTACTGTTCAATACTCTACTTTTGTAAAATGTCACTTTTATATACTTTTGTTGAAAGAACCTTGCCATGAGTACACCGATATCCGTTTACGTAAATGATTCTTATTAATCAGCAGCATGTAGATCGGGCATAACCAGGGCAAACTACTATTTCTCTGTCAGCATTGACGACATTTAGATAGCTGTTTTGCAACATCTCTATTGAGGATATCTAGCCATCTATAAATTATTAATTATGAAGGTAAATATATTGCTCTAAATAGTATACGGATATATGGTGACAAGAATTTAATAATTGAGTAGAAAAATCTTCTATCTTTAATGTCGGATTTAGAGATTTCAGCGAGTATGTCGGTAACGTATCTAAGTTTTTCAATCAACCGCACAATTAAATATTTCTATAGTGTGTCCTGAACATTTTAATATAACGACTCGTGAGCAAAGAATTTAGGTATAAGATTTGCTTATTCTGTTATACCGAAATATTTGTATGTTTCTTGTGTATGTACAGTGGAGCGGTATTAATATTTTATTACTTGTATCCATTTACCATATTAGCCGATAAATACCTACGGGTATGAAACTAGTTATCTTGATGTAGGTACTTTATTTCCGTCTAGTAGGATCGGTCGAAAGATCTTGATCTTGCGGCTGACCTGACCCATCGATGTCTGAGTTTTATTAATAAAACATAAGGTGTCGCACAATTATGTGCGCTATTCATGAATTGTAAATCTAGTCCTCGGGAAATTGATGATACACATAAAAAAATTGTACAATTAAAAATTCATGCTGCATTACTTAACGTCTTATCGTTGCCGAAAAATAAAATTATTCAATATAAAATTCAGACCAAGGTTAATTGTATGCATCATTGGTATGTTCAGGTTGTTAATTAGTTTTTTACAAAATTTAAAATTGTAATAAGCCATTGAAATACTCTTATGAGTCATGTGTCCTATGAAATTTTCAAAGGAAAGACTGAGAGATTGTATTTTGCAGAATCTATGGCTTGTCTCTCTTTGTTTTCTCGCTCTCTTCTCTGAGTGAATTCTAATATTGTAGATTAGTTGTTTTTTTTAGGGACTACCTGTTGCTCGCCACACTTCCCGCGTGAAAATACAAAATATAATCTATGTAACTCACTGAAAACTTAGGTTTTTAATGGTGAAAGAATTTTTGTAATCGGCCCAGTAGTTTTTGAGTTATTTCAATAGATACAAAAATACAAATCTTTCCTCTTTATAATGTTAGTATAGATTACCATGTTAATGTATCCTTAATGTTCCAGTTGCGAGTGCCGCTGCGCCAAGTGTTGAGGCCGCGCGACCTCAACGTGACGATCAGCAAGCGACACTTAACAGTGGCAGTGAAGGGCCAGCCGCCTATCATCGATGGAGACCTAGACGCTGACGTCAAGATTGAAGAGTCCACGTGGGTGCTTCAAGATGGACGGAATCTACTCGTCAACTTGGAAAAGGTAATGTTATTTTTGGGTGTCCATTGTCAAAACATCTTTAAGAAAAAATATTTTCATCTCTGTTTTATTTAAAGAAAGTGAGAGGGATGAGGGATTATAATGTAATTTAAGTGTCGAGGGAAGGAGCTAATCAATTGATTATCGTCATAGCAATAAAAGATTGAGCGAAGTTTAGCGAATCCAATAATTAAATTTTTCATCCCAACAAAGGCTGCGTCTATTGACTGCGATGCGCCTCATTACACAGATTTTGCTTTAATTTTTAATTATTTTGTACATAAACATTGGTATGTAACATTATGTCTGAGAATTTTAATTAAACTTGTTTTCAATAATCAATAGGTTTATCGTTGTATTTAAGATTATGTGAAATAGTTTTTTGTTGCATTTTTTACGAGTTTATATGGATAGGAATGTAGAATTTTTTTCTTAATTCTAGGTTAACAAAATGAACTGGTGGGGGCGTCTCGTGACAACGGACCCGGAGATATCTACACGGAAAATAAACCCAGGTATGTATAAAGTGCATAAGTAAATGTGAAAATAGAGAAAGATATAAAAAAGAGAATAATCTTTTTACAAAGTTTTATTTATAAAAGTTTGATGTTCTTTTTTATTTGACTGGATTTTTGTAGAACCATCAAAGCTGTCGGATCTGGATGGGGAGACGCGCGGATTGGTCGAGAAGATGATGTACGACCAGCGACAGAAGGAAATGGGTCTGCCCACCAGCGACGAACAGAAAAAGCAAGATGTACTTAAGAAGTAAGTATAGAATTACAATAACCGGTACATTCCAAGGATTAACTTCTGTTCCAAAACATTTTTTTATGTCTGTTTTATTTTTCAAAGATAATATAAAATGTTATGTCAACGATAAACTTATTGTGAATTATGTAATAAATCCTTAATGTGAAAATATTTAATGTGCATTTGTTTCAGATTCATGGAACAACATCCTGAAATGGACTTCTCTAAATGTAAATTCAACTAAAGGTTGACGCACATCGGACAACGTTCTCATTCCAATGATTGTCGTGAAGAACAGTGTTAATTTACTCACTTGATTTTAAATGTGGTATATATAGGAGTATTGCATTATTGTATGCTTCGATCAGCACTATTATGTACCTGCCTTGAGGGCGAGTGTGCCTGTAAAAAATAAATGTTAATTTAAAAATATTGTGCGTTTTATTTGTTATCCTCGAACTTCGTCGAAGTGATAATCTTATTAATATCCTAAATGCAAAAGTTTAGATGGATGGATGTTTGTTACTACGTACTGAACAGAACTTATAGAAAATTTTCAGAAGTGTTGTAGAACACTGCAAGGAAACAGGCTGCTAATTAAGTTTTTTTTTAATTCCGCACAGATTCCTTTTTTTAATTTGTTTTATTTGATTAGAAAATTTTCAACAAAAGGACTAAAATGACAACGAAATTTAGAGTAGAATGTCGTTTATTTGAATCGGAATAGAACAGCAGTCTTGTTTAGTCGGATGTAATCAGATTACATCAGAGATCTGATCCAAGCGTTGAAGGAGGTGACCCTGGCGAAGCCGGCGGGCAAGTTGTGCTGGCAGCCGCGGCTCGACCCGAATGATGTTACACCGATCTGCAAAACAACATTAATTTCAACCGAAGATATAATGCCAACCTAACTTTAGCATTACAGGTATACAGTGCAAGCACTAAACTTGCGAAGACCACAAAGCACTAGGGCAATTCTAAATAATTATGGTCTGAGTAAGGTAGTATACTAACGAGAGTGTTGCCGATGGCAAGAGGGCCGCCGGAGTCGCCGCTGCAGGTGCTGATGCGGTTAGCACCGCTGATGCAGAGGGTGGACGAGATGACGGTGCTGATGCCGAACGTCAGTCTGCACACGTTGTTGGTGATGACCTGCACACGCGCGTGCGACAGGAACTGGTTGTTGCTGATGCTACCACCTAAGAAAGCCGAAGATATATAATATAAGCTTACATAAATAGGGTCATCCAACATTCTCAGTTTAGACTTTCATTCTCCTATTCAATAAATCCAAATAAACAGAATTCTTAAAGATGCTGTAGCAAGCATTGTTAATTACCGTCTGCGGTCAAGCCGAAACCAGCTGCGTCGGCCCAGGAGCCCGCGAAGTCGTTGCTACCGGAAGCAAGGCCAATGTTGCGGATGTTGTCTGTAAAAACATTTATTTTAGTATTTACATATCTCTTTGATGCTAAAATCCACGGTAAGCATGTGTTGAACGCAAGATATAGGGAATCCAAAAAGTCAAGATTTCTAGATGTACGAGTATTGCTATGTAATTTTAATCAAAGTGGCCGTCGTATTGAATTTAAAATAAAATGAGGTTCGAATCCACTTTAAAATATTTGGCCATACTTACTTGTGTAGGCGACGGAATTGATGGTAATAACAGCGATGTCGTTGTTGTAGTTACTCGTGCTGTAGCTGCCGTGAACCTGGACGCGGTTGGTAACAATGCGGGTGCCACCGGAGAAGAGACGAATGGAGCCGAGCACGACGGTGAACTCGCGCGCCTGTGTGGTTCGGTCGCGCCAGCAGTGCGCCGCCGTCACTAGCCGAGTGTTGGAAATCAGCGAGGAGCCGCACACCGAGGTGCGGCCGTCTGTGAGCAAGATCACCAGCCCACCCTAACATGCAAAAAATAAAATAAAACATTCCAGTAGTATAAAGCTAATATACGACAAGTTTCGGATACTATGTACAGAAATAATGATTTTCATTTCATTCTCAAGAGTGAGTTCATTTCAGATGTCTTTTCATACAAATCAGCAAATATGTTAATCGCACCATGTACGGGTAGGCGCCGAGAGAAGCCGCAGACCCGCCGACAATCCTGGAGCCGTCGAAATCTGCAGCCAGCTCCGCTTGCTTGATGACTTCGGCCCTCGGGATGCCCACATTCAGGTGGTAGTCGAGCTCGATGGGCTCATAGGCCACAGCCAACGCCGCCAGGCAGGACAGAACTACGAACACCTTCATTGCGGAATCGGCTTGGGTACCTAATGCTAACGCAAGAGCAATCCGCACCTTTTATACTAACTCCAAATTATTTTTTTTTGTTGAAATAGGGATTAGTGTAATTCATTACGATAGTGTCCAATCTTGGATGACTGATTGTTGGGTTTTCCGATAATTATTCTTACATTGGCCATATACCGATCTATTGATAAAGATAACTTTTAGGAAATGTAGGAAGTCCTCAGATTATCTGAAGTTTGTGGCGAAAAACCGGACTAATTATTGGTGCTCCGTTGTTCTTGGACCATCTTTCAACGCTGCAGCATCTTCGAAGATGCTCTCGCGACGAAGGACAATGTAGTTTACATTTTTTAGTTTTTATTGCTTCGCAATCATGAAGCCTGAAGAATTTATAACATACACCATCTCCGGTTCACTATACGTCTCCACCGGGGGGCTTGGAGCCTACCCTAGGATAAATATGACTAAGCCAGATTCATCCATTCAGGCCCAGTGCAGGTTGGTTGACTTCACACATATCTTTTTTTCTCGCCGATAAGTACAAATTGTCACGATGTTTTTCTTCATCGTAAAAACGTCGAGTAAATTTTGTACATTTGAAATTCGAAAATCTCATTGGTACATGGCTGGATTCGAAATCAGGAACGAAACCCTGAACGTGGCTACGCCTTTGAACGCCTATCGTAAAACTAGTTTCAAATACTAAACATCGTAGAGAGCGTCGGAGGCCCAATGGTTTAAGCACTTGACTTGTAATCTACAGGGCTTGGGTTCAAATACCACTATGTTCCAGTCTGATGTTCGATATTTCATATGTACATAATTTACATAACGAACTTACGGTAAGGGATGAAATACAACCTGCATATATCTGCGAAGAAATTCAAAGTGTATGTGTGAAGTCAATCAACCTGCACTTGGCCAGCGTGGTTGACTATGACCTAGTCAACTTAACTTAGGGTAGGCTCCGAGCCCCTTAATGGGGACGTATAGTGAGCTGGTGATGATGATGATGATGATTATGATTAAACAAAATTCATGATGTCTAAGTCGATTTTTTGCCGATACATAATGTGTATTACTTTGCGTACCGGAAAAGATAAGATTAATTACTTAAAAAGAATACTTATCTCAATCCCATTTGAACGTTTTAAAGTTAATTAATCAATGGAATTTGATTTCCTCTGTCGATAAGATTGTACTCTAACATGTACGTAGTCGATTTCTTAGTATCAGCGGTCGGCTAGGACGATGTAATTATCACTACATAGCAGAAGCAAAGCATAATATAGAATTAGGAGTTTTGTCTAATTTCGATGATGACTGTGGTGTTCGAGTCTCACTACCAATGCGTTTACCTTTTTCACCTATTCAGATCAAGAAAATTATGGGACAGAAGTTTTAATGTGGATAACATTGGATAAGAATAGGTATCGTTCTATGTTTGAAAAAAGGATATACTTCTATGTTTGGAAAACTGCGACCCTCGTGATAGAATATCATGTCTTTGGCTAATACGATGATTATATGATGAAGCCTAAATGTGCATTTTAAGAACAGGTGAACGTTTTAGTTATATTCCTAAAATGTCTTGGGGTTTTTTACATGAATTTTGGGCGATTTCATTATAGATTTTATAGAAAACACCGCAATATAGTAATGGCAACACAGTTATCAACGTCAACCGTCAACCATCAAAATAAACACGTAAACGTAATATTTCCTCTTTTTGCAGTTTACATGTGAAATAAGATTAAGAAAAATGGTTAGAACAGTATATTCCCCCGAGTATTGCCTGCAGTATTTAGAACAGTATGCATCTCAAGAAATTTTTGTAACAGGGCTAATTCTGGGTCAGGTATGTGGTGGCACATTAATAATCAAACTGAAAATGAATTTTTAATTTTGATTATTTCCATATAAACAGATTACAGATGCCCGAGAGAACGTAATACATATAGCACGAACACCAGAAGAGAAAGGCGGTGAAGCAATATCAAACGATAGTAGTTTTGTTTTAGAGAAACAAGAACAAGCTAAAAATTTGCTAGGAGTTTCTGAAGCATGGGTTGCTGATCACGCTAAACATGTTACAAGAATGTTACCGGGGGGCATGTTTGTTCTGGGTAAGTGTGATACCTAATTTTTAACGTTCAATAATAACACCAAAAATCAAGTCTAAATACAATTAAAACCTTATTGCCTTTAATTAAGATGATTAGATGGTGACATAAAATAACAAAGTTAATAATCTAAATTTAAACAATTTTGGTATGGTGACTGTTATGTTAATTTCTATAATAAGAACACATTAAATTGAGTATCCAATATACCTGTAATGTATATTTGAAAGGTCAGGAATTTAATTTGCCGAAAATTGAGTAAACTAGTTTTAGTCTTAGTTTATTTTTCAATAATTAAATGACAATAATTACAAAAATCCAATCTATTCTTAAAGTACAATTGTAAACTAATTTAATTAAATGCAAAGTTTTGCCCTTTAGTAAAGTTTTAATTGCTTCCTTGTTTATATCTAATTAAAATATTCAGTTAATCTTGGAATTTTACTTTCAGGTATCTTTATAACAAGTGATGAAGATATTTTTGAGGATCCCAACTATTTTAGTAAAGTGAAAACTATATTGAATTACATGTATAAAGTATTGAACACTAATCATTTGATGTTTGCAAACTGCCCACATTCCAATGAAAGACTAATTTTGCATATGTCAACAAATACAAAAGTGTTGACATGTAAAAGCATTGAAATAGGACCCAGTAAGAATGTCGCCATCAAACCTGTCGAGTGGAAATTCTTGTCCAAACCCCAGCAATGGCAGAGATTGGATTGTTACTATGAATTTGATGAAGTTTACCCTGTTGTTGTAAAGAAAAGTGGGATATCAGTTAAACAACAGTTTCAGGTATGAAAAAATATTATACAAAACAATTAATGAATAAAAAATATGTCTAAATTAATTCAAGAACAATCATAGATACTGAAAATAATTCAATTTTTATTTCAGCAAATACTAGAATCATCTCATAAAACTATTGAGTCAAGCGTAATGTTCCTGGACGGAGAGTTGAAAGATTCCTCAGAGCAACTTGAACAGTTGATTAAAAAAAAGAAAACTAAAAACAACTCCAAAACAGCACAAGATGTTCCCAAATCTATGCAAGTGTCATTATTCGTACCTTTTGTAAGTATGGATACTTTAGATACCTTATTTTTCTTGTAACCTTATTTTTACTTCTTGTAAAGAAATTCAAAGATATATATGAAATCAAGAGTCTCCCATTTGCCCGGAATGGTTGACTATGAGATAGTTATCTCAAAGAACAGGTTTAGGCCTGGATGTGTAAGAGCTGCCAAGTAATATGGGAAGGTGAAACGGATTTGTCAGAGTAGGGAAATTCTGTGCATTTCCTCTGGGAATTTAAGTTAGGCAATGCCAGTAGAACTGTAGATGAAGGCAGTGGTAGTTAAAAAAACCTTTTTATATTGAATCTATGTAATAGAGTTTATATAGTCTGATTTTTTGGTGTATAAAAAATGTTATTTTTAGGAGAATGCTTTACCAGAGACTGTAGAGTATTTGGAATGTGATGGGAGCATACACTTTAGTGGTGTTGTGGCATCCAGTGTGTTTATGTTTCCTAAAGCATCAGTAGGGGAGGCTATAGCGGCAGTCAAGCAAGACATCGTAAGATCATTAGCATCACGCTTCACAATGCATTGTGATGCACTAATTGATGATAATTTACTACCAGAAGGTTTGTTAATATTCCTTTTATACTTTTCAGCCAGTTTCATCAGATGAGTGTTTTTTTATTTTTTGCATGCACCAAATCATATATTTAACAGTGGTAGTGCCCGCTTTAACATCTTAGCACGAATGGGCCGGCACGCCCGGTGTAATACCACGACCACATAGAAGACAGGCGTGAAATGGAAACAATTCCGTGTTTCATCTGATGAGTGTGGTGCCGGAGGCCTAATTTAAGTCCCTTTCTCTTTACCACCCTTTTCTTATAAAAAGAGGATGGGAAGAGGAAGTGAATTTGACAGTGGAGGAGATGCATAAGAAGGGGAAATGTCCTCTTTATGTGCGTCTCCTCCTCCGTCTGATAAGGGTACGCAACGCATCTGCAATTGCGGATGTCTATGGGCAGCGGTCGCTTCGCCATTTTGGCGATTTCAGGTGGCCGTTTGCTCGTTTGCCACCTTATGTTATAAAAAAAAAAAACCAAATCATAGTTAGGGGTATCATTTTGAATATGCTTTTTTAAGCTTAAGGTTATGTCATTTCTTAGTCTAAATATTAAACTGTGAATAATCTTACTTCTTACTAATATTATGAATGCGAAAGTTTAGATCGATGGATGTTTGTTAGAGTTTATAGCCTAAACTGCCAAATATATCTCAATGAAATTTGGTATACATGTAGAGAAAAGTATGGACGTACACATAAGCTACGTACTATTGTTTTTTTTTTACGCGGACGGAGTCGCGGGCGAAAGCTAGTATAAAATGTTTGTAAATTCTACATATTAATGAAGTATATTTAATTGTTATTAATATTATAGAGAAAGTGTGTTTCAACGAGCCTCCGAGACGTGTGCTAGTGCCAGTTGGATCGCTGTACCTCTGCGACTACCTGTTTCCTGGGGAAGCACCCGCTGAAGCCTTGCTCTCAGTCAGGGAACTCCTCGACCTGCAGATTACAGAGGCAGATGTTATCTGTGACATTGAGACTCCTGCTGGTAATTATTTTTTTTTAGTGAGCATTAATTTCTAGGTTTTTTTTGAGTAAGGCATTTTTTATCCTATTAAGATTCAACAAATTTATCTAGCCTTGTTGTGCAGTGTTTCTTTTTATAAAAAAAATAGGAAATTTTACAATTTTTCCCGTTGGGACTGGCAGTAATTTGTTTGGACCATTGGGAAACACTCTTTTATACGCATAGAAAATAGAAACTGAGTCTGATATGGTGTTAATGAACGAATGAACTTCCAATCATTCATTTATCTATGAAAATGGCAATCTCTAATGATCTATGAAGAAATTGTAATTTTTCAATGATTTTTGATAATATGGTTATCAGTATTATTATATAATTTCAAATCATCCTCAGATACATCAGAGTTCGACGCGCTCGATAGAGACACGAGCAGCGAGGAGCTGCTGGCGACGCCGCAAGAGGCGAGCCAATTCATGTACATAACGGGCATTGCTTTTGCATTTCTAGTATTAACTGTGTCCATATTTATCCACTACTATGACAGTATTGCAGAATTTATGCGCAAATTATTAACCACATCGTGAAGTATACTATGTCTACAGATTATAAAGTTATAGCCCAATAAACGTTTATTTTCATTTTTTTATTTTAATGTTACATATAACTTGTTTTGTACAGATATGTGATGAGTAAAGTTTAAATAAATGATTTTAAATTATTTGTGTTCAAGTATTTATGGTTATCCTATCCTGGCAATCAAATGGTAATTTTGCCCACTATAGATGTCAGCACGATCAAAGTGTCTGTATGTAACATTAATATGTACAAATGGATAGGCGACTTTTTAAAATGAGAGCTTTTGCTTTGTTTTGATATAAGTACATTACTTTTATTATTTCAAAAGCTCTTCACCACAATCAACAGCAACCATCAGCACCAAAAATACGATATTCGAATAAACTCACAAAACTACAGTTTAAATCCTATCCATTTATAGAGATCCGTGGCAATATCATGCATAATTGATCTTATAGCGCCATCTATGAACAAAGATCGCCACAACTATTATTACCACTAGATGGCGGAGTGGTAAGTTGTTATCACAGTAAATTAAAGAGCACACTTATAACAATATCACAAACGCAACGAGGTTATGAACTATGCATAAGAGTAAAAGAGAGATCCGATAATCGCTCGCGCATTATTGGTATTCCTTTAAAATTAGTTGTATTTTTTTGTAATGGAATGACAAACAACATATGCTGGGGAGTTCATGTTCACAATTGACATTCATTCATTTGTCATACAATTCGCAATTGTAATTTGTAATCGTATACGCCGATAACAATAATGCAGTTATGTTTATCAAGTGTTACTAGAAACCTGTGTATTTAGATGTGATTTTATAGTGTTTTTGTAAAGTTATTAAATTTGAATTGAAATGTTTATAAAAGTGCAAGATAATGTAAACGAGTTTTAAATAATGTGTGAATCTCAATTTATTCAATAAACCGGTTTACGAACAAATGTATGCGTGATATCAAAGTGAAGACGATATTTGTTTATCATGGCGTTTTCTTTGAATAAACTTAAAAATATTTTAAACTCCAATCGAGACAATCAGTTATCGGGAAGTGGAAGCTTAGATCCGGAAATAGGATTCAAATTAGCGTTGCACCCAGTTAGTAAAAATTTGTATGTGACGGTTATTGGCGCCCGGCACCTTCCTTCCTTGTTTGGGCTAAGTAGAGCTCATGGATACCTTGTTAAAGTAAGTTTTTATTAATTTTTTTATAAACAAAACTATATTATACTATGTTGTTACACAAATAAAGGTTTAGTGATACGTTTTATACAAGACTTTTCAAGTTTTGCGAATTTACACAATAAGTTAATTTTACTCTTGTTTTGTCTTGTTGATATGCCAATTGTAGACATATAATCAGATAAGCAATGCATAAATACACGGAAGTAGTAATACAAAATATGTTATCTATACTAGAAACAGTTTTTTTAGATTTAGGTACATGTTTTTGAGCTTGATATGGCCTGAACAGAAATATGAAATCGCGTAATTTTGCAGCAAAATAAAATATGGAAGACATTTGAGATTGATAAGTCAGGATTATTATAATCTTGGTTTGACTATACACAAACAACCCTTTTCTTGTCGCGTTATTTCTAATCCTAACATTAATAATGAAACCTTTAAAAAATCTTTTAACAAATCCTCGACATTAATTTCGCTTACTCGCTGATCTTACCATACTCAACTCTTACGTTTATAAATTGCACTATAATATATGTACGGTTATATCTATGATATTAATCATTTCTCCTTCCAAGGGCATGTGTCTACCCTCCAAGGTCAAATGCCGTCGCGGTATTATTTATTAAAACCGTAAATCATGTAAACATAGCATCTGGTATGTGGTTCGCTTTTTTTCTTGTGACAATAAGTGACAAAGTTACGTATTTTATTTTAATCGTTGTTAAATATAGTATATAACATATGTAATCGGTTAAAAATAATCTTTGTAACATCACGTATAACGATAGCCTTGACGGTTGGCTGAACTATTATAACAAGGGTTGTGAAAAAAGTAACGAACATTTACGTTACAACTATTGACTACTTGGCGGTGAAAAAACGTGTTCTTCTAGATCTACATATGTGCCTCGTCAAGATTCGTTCAGCAGTTCTGAACAAACATCCATCTAACTAAACTTTCGCATTTCGAGGAGGTAGCAGCCCTAATTACAACCGACAAAGCGTTACGCTGTTAATTGTTAATTATTTTTATCTTGTTACCACTTCCTTTGTTTTTTTTTGACTGATGAATAATGTTAGTATTAATATTAAGTATTAAATTAAATAAGTTACTTAACTTTTTTGTTTACTTCCGACTTTAGTGTAATTAAAAGCAAAAGGTGCAATTTTGCAACAAACGTTTAACAAGTATAGTATTGTAAAGCCTAACTAATAATAAAAAATCCTGGCCTGACGGTCCTTCTATCGTCATCGCATCTTTATAACATTATTCTGTAATGTGCGTCAACAAATTAGTTCCAATTTTTCCCATCTACACTAATATAAAGGGGAAAGAATTGTATTTTAGGATTTTTGTATCTATTTCATCCACACAAAAATTACTGGGCCGTTTTTAAAAATTATTTGTAAGTAACATATGCCATTTTTTGTTTTATTTTTTAAATTCACGCTGGCAAAGTCGCAAGCAATCGACCCTATCAAGTCGCCTTCATTCTTCAAATTAGTAACAGTTGAGATTTTTAACTCGTGAAATTCCAACAATGACGACGAAGCTCAATTAACGTGCTGCTAAATTATGAACACGCTTCCGAAGCCGCTGAAACTCGACCGATGACGTCATAAATTTACTTTTATAGCTCGGCCTCAGCTTTACAGTATTTATGTTTTTCTTTGCAATAAATAAAAGAGATACATAGCCCAGCTTTAATTCGGAGACTAAATTGGTGTTTAGAAGATGTTTTAATTTGAATTCTGTAGTACAATTTAATAGTGTTCTAACAAGAAATTATATTTGATTATATAGCAAATAAATTAAAAATTATATGCGCTAAAACTGGTGATTGCATCAGCATTCAAGCAGCATCAAAATATAGCCTATGTTACTCACTGATAACGTATCTTTTGAATGGTGAAAGATATTATGAATTTCGCCCAGTTTTTGAGTTATTTCAATATATACAAATATATAAATCTTTCCTCTTTATAATACTAGTTTAGGTGTCATATACATTGCCGAAAGTTCCGGTGTGTTTCTTGGAGATCCCGGAACCTTCGACTGTCACTAGATGATAGCCACCGAGGAGGTTTTAGTGGGTCAAATCCTACATAACCCTGCCTTCCAACAAGAAGGCAAGGTAACCTTTGAAGATTTCCCCCGACACAAAAAGGTGTCATATACATCAAGGTTATCTGGTTTTCAGAGACACCAGGAAAATTAAGTACCAACATAAAGGGATCAATTTTCATTTTAGCAACCTTTTGTAAGCAGATTTTTTCATTTCCGTTTTTATTAATATTTACATATTAAACGACAGTAATTTATGCATGAGGACGCTCAAGCCATACAATAGGAAAATTGACAATAAATCTTTTTGTTTGTGTTAAAAATAATAAGACAGCTTTTGATATTTAAAATCGACGTAGTGTTAAATATAAATAAAGAAAATTAATGATATATGTCCCTTAGAAAATACGAAAAACTATCCCGGTTGCTGTTACTTATAAGTTTGTATAGTAGTATATCAAAAATAATCCTTTACTTTTTACCGAATTGTCTACTGTATTTATATCAATAAAAATAGTATTATTAACTACTAGTTTTAATAGTGGAAATAGGTCATACTGTGTTCGTAAATATATTTATAGGTTAGGCGTGCATTGTGATTCATTTAAACGTAAGTACGATTCCATGTACGTGCGAATGCTGCACCTTAATATTGAATAATGCAATAAGAGTGTATAGTGCAGTTACTTATAGAGAGACCTATTTTCTTCATTATTTTGGCATTTAAAACATGTGGCATTAAAAACAAAAGTAAGTAGCCTATGTGTTCTTCCTGATTATGTTCTACATCTGTGACAAATTTCTTCTAAATCCGTTCAGCCGTTTAGACTACAAACTAATAAACATCCATCCATCCAATAGAGACCTATTTTCTTCATTATTGTAGACGAGCTGTTGCCCGCGACTTCGTCCGCGTGGTATTAGAAAACATACAAACTATATAAATTACAAAAAGTTACGTATCCCTCGGGAACCGGACATGACCGGACATTTCTCGGGAGTGAAGCTTATCCCATGTGTACTCCAGACTTTGTTTTATATCTGTGCCAAATTTCAATAAGATATGTTGAACCGTTGCAGAATGATCGAGTAAACATTAAAAAACTGAATTAATGAATCCCAGGGGAACCGTAACTATTCCCGGGATAAAAAGTAGCCTATGTGTTCTTCCAGACTATGCTCTAAACCTGTGCCAAATTTCATAGAGATCCGTTCAGCCGTTTAGGCTACAAACGATAACAAACATCCATCCATCCATCTATCCATCTATCCATCCATCCATCTAAACTTTCGCATTTATAATATTAGTAAGATTAGCTTTTACCCGCGACTTCGTCGGCGTGGTATTAAAAAACAAAAGTAAGTAGCCGCCTATATGTTCTTTCTGGCTATGGTTTACATCTGTGTCAAATTTTTTCAAAATCCGTTCAGCCGTTTAAATTACAAACTAATAAACATCCATCCCACCAAACTTTCGAATTTATAATATTAGTAAGATTATAAAGATGCGACACTTCAAGTTTAATGTTGACTGATTATTTTATTAGTTGACGTAATTAATTAGTGTTTATTTGGCTTTGAAATCCTTCAAGTTGACCTTGACAAAATATTGGTACAATAAATTCGTAAAAACATAATGTTATGTTAGCGTGTTTGATTTGTAATAACGGATAGTATTATTTCATGCTAATTGGATTTTAATAGTCAAGTAATAAAGAAAGTCTTAATTTTATTTCTGTTATTTTTTATAATAAACATCAATATAACAATTCAAAACCAATTTAATCGTAAGTACGTAAGCATATTGATTTACTGGTTTATAAACCTTGTCCAAATATAATTCGTGGTAAAATCTCGTTATATTGCTAATATACGAGCAAACTTTAGCAAGCAATAAATTAGGAGCACGTGCCACTTGAAGGTTGTAATTTTCCGTTACTTATAAATCTAATTTTACTGATGAAACTCCGGTCAAGTTCATTCATTTATTAATAATATTTGTGAAGACATATTCAAAATACAGATAACTATCGTTTAATTTTTTGACCGGCTTCCTAAAAGAAGGAGGTACTCAACTCTTTTTATAACTTATTTATTTCTTGTAGTTTAAAATGTATAACCATAGATAAAGTTGCAACGCGGTACTTCTGTTCTAATGTGAGATAATGTACGTCGTGTCTTCTGTTAAGTTTATTGCTGTATGACGTCACGCGATTTTCTTTTTAAATTGTATGCTTAGAAAACTGTAGATTTAGTATTAATTTGTTATATTATTTACTCCTTAGGTAAAGATATAAGAAATAACTTATGCCGTCAATTAAGTTGATGGAAAGAGATTGCTTATTCCATTTTGGACCTCCTTCTCGTGTCTAAACGTACTCCGCGTGTGTACATCGATTAATATAATTTTAATTATGTTTTATTTAAATTATTTCTCAAAGAGTACTCTACAGTGTAACGTGTGAATGGATTTGATTTCACCAACTTTCACTTCAAAAGGTGACACTAATAAGGTTTTGTGCCACATGTCTTCATAGATATGTTGGTTTGTCTTTACCACTCTACTTGCCATATGATTTACAAGCTTTGAAGAAGAATGAAAAAAAAAAAGTGAGTAGCTTAAGTGTTATTGAAGACTGTGCTCTACATCTACGCCAAATTTTATCGAGATCCGTTTAACCGTTTAGGGTACAAACAAAAACAAACATCTATCCATCTAAACTTGCGCATTTATATTAGTAAGAACTAAGATAATACCAATTTTTTGTTCCGAATAAGTAACAAATCAACTAGCTTACGTTTATGTAGAATTTAATCTGGCAAGCATATTTTATCGACAAAATATGTAAGAGCGGAGGTGCAAAAAAAGCTGATGCAAATAATGAGACACGTATGAGTCACTTCATGTGTTACTTTATAAATTAGTTCCCACCATTGTTACACGAATAAGAAACACAGGTATAATATATAGTTAGGTTTTTACTCGACTAGTTGATTACATAAATAGCGTCTAGGGCGTAAGTGTTTATCATCGTAGTTCAGCTCTCAGCATATTTATTTGTCTGTTAATTAAAAAGTGTCAACATAGACGCAGGTTAGGTAGTTTAGTAACATGTTTTTGGGATAAACCGTTACACTAGCAATATACTATGTTATCATACGATTTAAGTAATTCCGTCGCCTTTAATTTAAAAAAAGAAACATACTAACAAATTATGTTTTTTATCTCGAGGAAGGACATGTAAAATGAAGAATAAAGATTGTGAACTTCGTGTTAAAATGAGTAAGGTGTGACCTCGCTTAAGATGAAGTATGTGCAAATTTGCAAGAGGTTATTAGGTCAAATATTACTACGAGATATCTCTATGTATTTCGATAATGGAGCATTTATAAGTAATTGAGTAGTGTAAAACCTGGAAGGTATTGCTTTGATACTTTGATACGTGAAATCTGATCTCGGTCTGGTATCGTCTGACCGCAACATAGTACACCAGTAAGTTGTCTGTTGCTATAATTACATGTAACTTGTTCGCCTTAACAATGTTACACTGCAATTATGTAAGTTCATATATTTCTAGAGAGATCCATAAGAAAAATTATACTTGGTAGAATAAAATGAAGAGGTAAATTAGTCCCAAGGAAAAATACAATGCAATATCGTTCATTCCATGCTTTAATATGGAAAGAAAATTAACGTTATTATTATTATATTATCGATATCGTACGTAAAATATTGAATAACTTTCAGATACGCTGTTTGATAATGCTTTGTTTTGCTTTTGCTTTGCTTTGTTTGTTTGATGCCGGAAAATCCACTTTCACGGTTTTTTTGCTTAATAACTAGCAATAAAGACAATATTGATGATAAACATCTCTCCATTTTTGTTGAGATTAAAAGCGATTATCTCAATCCTTATCATACTGCCGTGTTTTTATCAAAACATTTTGAGTATTTCAAGAACATATCTTATCTTTAGCATATGCATATATTCAGGTCTGCTTTCACTAATTCTGACCTAAGACAAGGATAAAACAACTGTGAAATAAATTACCTAGTTGATATAATAATTATATATTTACCACGTAAACGAGAATAACTATATAGTAACAACCGCTTAATTCGATGACGGTTTTGTCGATCAAAACCGTACGCCAAAAAGTAATTTAACTTAGATAGTTAAATGACGTAAACATTAAAATCGATCCAAGACAGATATACCGACTCTTTCGATGTTCTGTCGATAATGGTAATTGTTTTTGTCATTATGTATTATGTATAAATATCTACATCTTTCTAAAGTAATATTTAAAATAAAAGTTATTTACAATGTAATCATACTACATTTGCGTATTAAAAAAAAAACATACAGACGAATCGAGTACCTCCTTTTAGGAAGTCGGTCAAAAATGAAATACTTTTGTGTCAAATGTGGATTTAGTCCACGTTATCTTTACAGTCTATAACATATCCTAAATGGTAGGCTGTAAACGCTATTTGCCAACATTACTCACCACTCGTAACAACTGATAAGCCCGTGAAAATAGTTCTGCCAATTAAAGTCTCTTTAGCGCTATCAAGGGGGCTATAGAATGTTATCGGGTAAGTCATCGACGTCACTAAATTAAAGCGTAGGTAGGTCATTAGTAAAATTATCGTGTCCTAGGCGTGTGATAATTACACTGATGTTCTATTCTCTGGTAATAACTTGAAGTATGTACGAACGTAGTACTCATTAAATTTGACTTGAAATCAAAAAGAAAAGTAATTGAGCAGTGATGTATTATTTTCTATACTGACTAGTTTTCGCCCGCGACTCCGTCCGCGAGGAATTAAACAAAAAACAAAAGTGAGTAGCATAAATGTGTTCTTCTCAAACTATACTCTACGTCTATGCTAATATTTCATCGAGATCCGTACAGCCGTAAAGGGCTAAAGGCTACAAACTCTAAAAACCATCGATCCAACATATAATATTAGTTATACTTATTAAAAATATTTTTGTTACAGGTAAAAGTGTTTCCAGGCGAAAGTAAATATGAAACAACGTTGCAAGAAAGCTCCTGGCCGGTTTGGAATGAAGATTTTAAATTTCAATTGAAACAGCAACCATCAAAGAAACCCAATGAAAAAGTCGACCTTCAAACACAACTCGCCGGCCATTTTTTGTCCTTAACAATATACGCTATATTAGAGGCACCGAAACCAGAATCTGAAAGAAGAAGAAGCGCAAAAACTTTAGATACCAAAAAAAATAATAAACTAACCGACGAAGAGGAAAACAAACCTAAGACTGGTTTTCTAGAAAAGACATTCAGTAGTTTTAAGTCGACGAAAGCTGAAACGGCTCAGAAGTTAATATTAGAGAAACGGAGGACCGTAGGAGCAGCGACGTGGAACTTTGATTCCAAATTATTCCAGAATGATCTCAAGAATGGGTTGATAGGAACGCCTGATGTCTGGAGACCTATTAATGCTATCGCAAGTGGACTTGTAGCCTCTGACTCTAGGGTAAAATTACTTTGTTATGGTACTTGTAGTTAGTCTCGCTAATAATGTAGTAGGAACTGGGGAAGTCCTATGTCCAACTGTAATTTGCCACAGGCTGCGGATCATGTAGCAAACGAACAAATGGACACAGAAGCAGATTATAACCAGTATATAACTTTCGGTTTTGTAGATGACCAGGATATCTATTGCCTTAACGAAATAGATTTTTACTAAACCTTAAAGGCCGGCAGCGCATCTGCAGTTCTCGGCGTTGCGGATGTTCATGGGCGTCGGATCATTTAGTACCAAGCGATCCCCTGCTCGTTTGCCCGCTTTTCCTATAAAAAAAACCTCCTAAACGGTGATCATGTGCATTTGAAATACAATTGCGCAAACATATTATAGTTAGATTTTACGAACTGCGAACTCCTCGCATCTCGGAAGTTAATTCGTTACGATCGTTAACTAACATTCAATAGCATGATGTAATTACAGCGTTTTATCACTGTATTAGATATTTCTCCCAACTCAAATATAATGTGGTCAATTTTGCTTTTTTGTTTGAAATCCGTTGGACATAATTGGATTTCTTTTAACCCTTCGCGGGAAACCTTTTTTGAGCGTTTATCTGCTAACCGAAAGAGGATTTCAATTTAGCTGATCTTTCGCTCCAGATGAAACAACTGGCTTGTCTCTAATATACTTACATGGATTTATGATAACAATATTACGTTAATCTTTTTCTGTAAAATAATTTACTTAATATTTATGCAAAGTTTTGGGAAGATATACTTTTTGTAGTAGATACATTGCTAAGTTAGTGAAGCGTATATTCGAGTATGAAGAGAATAAATGCAAAATAGTTTTTTGTTTAAAAACAGAACTTTCCTAGATTAAAAATTGTTTATTAAAATGCGTCAGGTTTTGTAGCTAAACCTTTGTGGGAAATCGGAATTGTTTTTAGTAGAATCTGAACATAGAGACAATGAAGAGATTTCTCATATGTATGATTCACATACGAGGAGACTGTTTAATTTTTTAATTCTATTAATGATTGAAGTCGACAATAGAATAGCTTTGACCTCGACCGCTCCCGGTTTGTATGTAGCCTATTAAGATGACGTAATGCTACCTTGATGTCCTCTAAACATTTGTATTGAATGTTATTATGTAATCTAAAATTTTGATCCTAGTCGATGACTCAAAACACGTAAGAAAAACGAATAAGGCAAATCGTAAATTTTACCGACAGACAATTTAATAGTCTTGTATATTTTATTTATAAATATGTTTACAAACACCAGAAAGCACTGAGTCATTAGTTTTAAATTCCAACAGCAAATTATATCTATTATTTAGCATACTATGTATAAATTTGTATGAATTATAACATCAATAAATTTCGCCTGTGACTCCGTCCGCGTGGTCTTAAATAAAACAAAAGTGAGTAGCCTTTGTGTTCCTTCAGACTGTCCTCTATATCTATGCAGAATTTCATCAAGAAGCGTTCATCCGTTTAGACTAGAAGTCTTAAAAACATTCACCCATCCATCTAAACTTTCGCATTTACAATATTAGTATGATTGATTTTTAAACTAATCTAGGCGTATTTGGTTGTATTGACTTAAAATATACTCTACATATCTATAAGTTCGCAGGTGGGTAATGAATCATTAGGCAAAGTAAATATTTTAATTATATCTCGGATGTATTGCCATTCTTTGGAACAGTAAGAATATTTTATATCATTATAAACCATCTCTCGAAACGTTTAACTTACCGAGCCAGTCAAGTAATCGTTAATTCACCAAATGCTATGCTTTTAATTATTAAATTAGTATAACATAATCGATCCCAGACATAATCAAGTTTTCTAACACGATAGTGATCAGTGTGGAGGGGTACATCGTAGATAGACGTAGAAAGAGATGGATGGATTGCGTGAATGGTGACATGATCAAAAAGGGAGTGATAACTGAGGTGATGGATGATAGAGTTATTTTGAGGACGAAAATCCCATGCACTGACCCTACGGGAGTAGGATAACGTAGGAGAGATATTGAAAAAGTTATTAGAGATTTTATATTTGCGTTTAATTTTCAGAGGGAGAATAAGAAGGGCCAGCTAGAAGTGACATTATTGTACGCGGCAAGCGAGGACGGCCTCAACGACACTGTGCAGCTTACCGTGAACCGTCTGCGTTGCAGCGTCCAAACAATGCAGGAGCACGAGCAGTATAAAGGTGAGGTCACAACACTTCCATTTTATAAATTATCTCCCTTTACAAACGTAGTACTAACTATTACCGTCAAGTAAACGCCCATTAGTATAAAGGTGAACACACAACACGAATATTACACAAATTCGTACTAATTCATTTACAAAATTCCGCTATCCTAATTACTTTGTTTAATTCCATTTTATGTAGACATACAACCTTTTTAATCTGGATGTGTTATACTTAAGGGCTTCGCCGCATAGGAGAGTTATTTGATGATAATTAATGTAGCAATTAAAATTCAAACCCCTGCTTGCTTCTAAGTCCCCTATTAGCATAGTTAATGCTTCTTGTACTGACAACTTTTGTACAGACAAAATAAATTCTAGACGTTATAGAAATCTGTCTGCTAATTAGATAAAGTTAATGACAAACAGCGCAGTGTCTGCTTAAGACTGGGTTGCTGAGGTTTCCATTTATTTTATCACAAGCTTTCGCCCGCGAATCCGTTTGCGTGGAATTAGAGAAAAACAAAAGCAAGTAGCCTGTATATTCTTCCAGACTATGCTCTACATCTATACAAATATCAGCCGTTTAGGCTATATCTAACAAACATCTATACATCCATCTAAACATTCGCATTTATAATATTAGTAAGATTATCTAGTGATTTATTAGTGTTAGGTTGAACTAAATTTCAAAGGAGTAAAACTCAAGTAACGTAGTTCGGAAACGCATTTCAGGTTATACCAAAAACACCAACGAATGGTTAAAAGTACCTCGGAAACTGACCATAACTCTGGGAAATTAAACCACACAATTTACATCGGTACGTTAATAACGTCGCTACGTGTTCAATGGCATGGCAGACGATTGCATTTAATAATTAATGAAGCAATTGAACTAATGCCGAGGTATTATAGTCTAGGAACTAGTAAGCAGTTTGATAATTATCCTACTGATGTTAATAACCACGAGCATATTAAAAATAGAAATAAATCGATAGACAATAAAATACATTGTGTGCTAATGAAATGGGTAAATCTAATTTTTACTTTCACTGAATTCAGTTTTATTAATAGTTATAGGTAAAAATAACTCAAGTGGATTAAGATTTAATCTTACTAATATTATAAATGCGAAAGTTTAGATGGATGGATGGATGGATGGATGTTGGTTAAAGTTTGTACTCTAAACGGCTAAACGGATTTTGATGAAAATTGGCACAGGCGTAGAAGATAGCCTGGAAAAACACATAGGCTACTCACTTTTGTTTTTTTTTTAAATTTCACGCGGACGGAGTCGCGGGCGAAAGCTAGTAAGAAATAAACGATTGATTTGTAGTCGTCTAAAAGTATGTTTGTACGGATGTACCATTTTTTATTCCCTATTGGTTTTCTATATTGTACTATTGTTTGCTTGCGTTCAATAATACATTGTGACAGAATCTCTCAAGAGGTAAATGCTAATGAGATTTGAAAGGCTTTTGTAATGTTGATTGAAATTTTATTGTGATGTTATTGTATTCTTTTAAGCTAAGGATTTTATTATTTTAATTCTTCGTTAATTGTAATGGTTGTTAACCCATACTATAATATTATAAGCGGGAAGATCTATATTTTTGGATATTTATATGTTGAAATAACTCAAAAACTACTGCGACGATTTCAAATTTTCTTTCGCCATTTAAAAGCTATGTTATCGCTGAGTAACATATTTTAAATTTCACGTGGACAAAGTCGAGAGCAATAGCTAGTTATAGGTCAATATCTCTATAGATAATTAACTTTAGCGACTTTTCTACTAAAATGCTAGTGCAACATTATACTATTATTTAAGTTTTTTTTTAAACCATAATTTGACGGTGTGTTTTGTAGCAAATATATATTTTTTTTAAAATAGGTGCTCTGTTGGGAATTATCAAATTAAGCGTTAATTAGAATGTATTTTTTCGTACGAATTGCGCAGTGAAAACCTACGGTCATTTTGTACCTTGTACACAAAATTGGGGATTGTATTCCAAGAGATTGTTGTGCAAATATTTGTACTTTCTGTGTACACATTTGAGTCAATGAACTGTGTACTATACTTATTTCGTCTCGCCCTTAACGATGTTTGTTTTTAAAACTATATTCTTGTGTAAAGCTTATTTCGTTGGTGTTGAAAATACAAAATAAATGCATTCTTTTTCGTAATATATTGTTTGTAATCTCTTAACGACAGACAGTTTCTAGTTTGCGTGAAAATATGAAGCGAAATAATTAACAATATTCGATGATTAGGAACGTGATGCTGTGAGTTAATTCAGTTGTTTAATTATGCATATTTATCTAAACAATGTAAACTAAATTATTATATTGTTTGCGATATTCTAAATGACCTCTGTACATATGTGTTTAGATTTAGACATTGTTTTATATCGCGTTAAACGAAAGTGTTTTGTTAAATTACTTTGAAATAATCTTAATACTTTATAACTAACTAGCTGTTGCTCGCGACTTCGCCTGCGTGAAATTAAAAATATAATAAATACCTTAAATGGATTTTTAAATCGTCTCAGTAGTTTTTGAGTTAATTCAATACATACAAAAATACAAATCTTTCCTCTTTATAACATTAGTATGGATAAATTGAAATAAGTTTATCAGTCATATAGTACAATTACTCAATTACTCGGCCATGGCGATCGGTTAACATCAGTACGGTAATAGTCCAGGGGAGGGGACGTTCAGACGTGGGCGACATTGTGCAACGCAACGCTTATTAAATAGGAGAGAGCTCGCGGGTCCCCTCTGCTCTGAATCATAAATACCGAGCTAACTGTCCGCTGCCGCGCGCGCCACCTGTCGGCGATGTAAATGAAATTAGTTGTTTGAATCGAATACATCTTCTAGGTCTTGTAATCACATTATATCTATAGACCTGAAAATGTAAAAATTCGATGCGGATATTATGTATATTATTTAATCACATTTAAGTATATAGCATACGAGCTGTTGCTAGCCACTTCGTCCGCGTGAAATTAAAAAATAGTAAAAAACATAGCCTATGTTATTGACTGATAACGTAGTTTTTTAATGGTGAAAGAATTTTTAAAATCAGCCTATTAGTTTTAGAGTTATTTCAATGCATACAAAAATACAAATCTTTTCTTTTTATTATATTAGTATAGAAGTTTGATTTAAAAATTTCCTTTTTTTTTATTTATTCCAACACTTTGAGGTATTTATTGAAATCCCGAGGTGATTACTAAATCTTGCCACGAATTTGCTAATTTAATATAAACTTTGTGTTTCCAGCACCGCTGTATTTGAAAGCGACGATATTGGAAGCGAACAAGGCGGAATGCTATTGGAAGAGCGATAGATTTATGCCCACTATATCCGCCAGATGGGATCCCAAATCTGCAACAGTCAAACTGATCGTTTTCAAAGCGAATTTGAACAAAGTCAGCATCTACATAAGTCTTGGATGCAAGACGAAAATGGCGAAAAAGGAAATATTGGGTAAAGCAACGATCGACGAAAAGTCTAGATATGCTGACAGCTGGAAGGAATGTTTGCGACAACCTGGTATTCCTAAAGCGTTTTGGATTAATTTTGAATAATATAAAAACTTTATACTATTTATTATGCACGAGTTTATTTGAATAACACGAGTTGTGATATAATGAAAATAACTTTGATTCGAGTGCCTTTTAAATATGATTATTATAACGGACTGTGGGGGATGGGATTGTTCAACATAGAAGTTATTAAAAATAAAAAATCATTTAACAAATTAACGGGCAGTCAAATGTACTGAACTATTTTGGATTCCCGTATGTATATACACATAAGTTACTGTGAGGTTTCTCAACATGCATTTCTATGGAATATAGAACAGGACAGATTTTTATCGAAAATAAAGCTAAATTTTACTTTGGCCTTTCCTTAATAAGAATTGAGAAATAAATTTAAACCTTATTTCAATCTAGTACAGCATAATTTAGTATACGATAAAAATTACCTTTGCTCTAAACACCGGTCTGTATAAATATATCCTTATTCTTTTGAGGAAAATTGAGATAATAATATGCTTTTGTATAGTTGTAACGGCAATGGAATTTAAAGCTGGGGACTGACCTAATCTTGTACGAGGGTAAAATGTCACCTCGTAGTTTATACGGATTGATTTTGACATATCTTAAAAATGACAATAAAATATTTCTTAACCAACGCTTATTTAAAATGTATGTGATTAATGTTGTGACTTACGTATTTTGATTATTTATTCACCACACAATTATATCCAGTAAGATGGAACTGAATGTAAATATTTAAAATATTTTATAAGTATATGACAACTTTTATATTGTTGCACGGAAATTAAACATTTTATACTAAAATTGTGTTTTAATTGAATCTCCGAAAAACCTAAGGCTAGTTAAACCTTTTATGTTACTTTCCTCATACTTTGCTATCGTAACAAACTCAGGTATTCCATAGCAAAGCACAAAATCTCGCCTGTGAAAAGGACTTGTTGGCAACTGGCTTAATGGAAAGAGATGTAAACCAGTACCCATGCATTAAAATCATCCTAATATTATAAATGCAAAAGTTTAGATGGATGGATGTGTGGCCTAAAGTTCTAAACATATCTTGATGAAATTTGGCTTAGATGTAAAGTATAGTTTGGAAGGACACAGGTTCCTCTTTTGTTTTCTCAATATTTCCACGCGGGCAAAAACTAGTTATAAATAACAAATGAAACACTAATTTATTCGAAATGAAACTGACAGTACCTGAAATAAGATAGTGTGTTGTAACAGCCATGTGTCACAGATAACGCTTGTCCACTGCCGGAAACCCTTTATTTAACATGGAACACGAAATTCGTTAATTATACTCTGCATCTGCACAATGATGTTATGTTATTCTTATTTGTTTTTACTTGGACTTTAGTATGGATATAACGAGAATCTTTATGAGGTAAGTAGATCAATTTTTGTTGAAAAAATATGATTCATTGCAATAAAATTCTCTTTGGGGATTTAGACGTTAAAATAAATATTGTGAAAATTGCCAAATTCTGTAGTTATTCTTCTGTTTTGTTGATAAAATGAGGATATACTGATGGGCTTAATTTAGAGTTTAGTCTCAAATGTTCTTTTATGAATAGATGCTATTTAATTTTAAAAGGCGTTTAATTTTTATGTATAATTTTTAAAAAGGCATTGTGAATAAATGACATATTCCTCGTCATTTTAAGTCCTAAATTTTTAATGAAGTCTGCAGATTTATTGATGATACCTTACTTTCAACAGATTGATAACAGCGTGAAAATTCCAATAATTTACTCAAATCTCTGCACTAAGGATCTTCCTTAGTGACCATTTGACGCTGATTAGAATAAAAAAGAGTTGCTTTTAATTCAATTATTAAAATATCGATTTAAAAATAAATAAAATCCCCAGTCATTTTTATTCAACGTGGATAAGGTTTTTAGAAGTATGAACTATTAACTTGTAACAGAGTTCATACTAATACATTATTTTGTAATAAATTAAACTTTAATTAAATACCTTATTTGGTGTCTCAATAATTGATAACCGGTCTTTTATTTGATTGGTAGATATATATGAGCAAAAGAACTATGTTTATTGCTTAATTATACCTTAATCTATCGCCCACGTTATTCTCACCGTTAATGAGCAGCTGAGAAAAGAAATAAATATCATTAACAGATTTTAACTTGTTTTATATACAATGAAATTAAATAAATAAACTCGGACTTGTAGATAGATAAAATAAATACTAGTGAAATGTTTCGTATCAATGTGAAGTAATAGGTGAAACATCTAAATCGTTTCAATACGAACATAAACAATTATTCGTTATAGCCCGAGCCGACGGGACCTTGAACTCGGTTCACGTTCATTGCCGATTGCTTGCGATTCGTTAGGGAAATAGATATTTCTATTTTCATTATTGCACAGTAATAGATTCGTAATTAAAATTTACTATCGTTCGTTGATAATTCGTCACGCACACGGTATAAGTTTAACGCAGATATTCTCAAACTATTTCTTTATTTTAGACCTTTTTTTAAATTTTACAGATATTAATTGCGGTTATATTTCTTCCTTAACTTTTGTTACCTCATCTTTATTTCTCTCTATCGTATATCGTCTTGTATCTTCCGAGAACTAGGGGGTTCATTTGGACAACTTTGGTAATCACTGGTTTAACGGTACGTTAAAAATAATTTGGGCGCTAACTGAGGCCACACATTGTCTTCGAGTTATCGCTAGTCGCCTTGTATGTCTTGTATCTCGGGACCGAAGCTGTGTAAATATGTAATTACTAACGGTCAATGAACTCCTCCTTATCATTTACCGTGTTGATACAATTTTAAAGGTAACTTTGGGTTACATCTGGATGAACTAGATATAAAAAATAAATTAATTTGAATTAATGTTTATAAAATACTCTTAAGTTCAGATCTTTAAGAAGGAAATATGTGTTAATAAAATGATAGTTTGTTGGTGGTTTTTACGGTGTTTGGATTAAATTATATTTCTTACTTTAACAGGATTTGTTTTGTTCTTCGTAAATTATCCGTAAATATTCGTAAATAATATCTTAAAACATAATTTATTCAGTAAAATATAAAACGTTTCAAACTGCCATCATAATGAAATAGCTACTTTATCTGTGTTGAAAGGGCACTTATAGTGGCAGATTCGTTCTATTTTATTGTCTATAGATAAAATATAATTTATCTACACACTTACGCTAGCATTAACCTAGTTTTAATTTTTATTTAACATCATATCTATGCGTATGATTGTGATTTAGCGTTTTTTCTTACGCTACTTTGTGTGGAACACAATATTTGGGATGAACGGAAAGCTAGTAGTGCGCTTGCGACGGTTCAACGAGCTAGTTCATTTTCGCTCTACAAGCAGACATGTTGCCTCTCTGAATTTACGAAGTAATCAATCGATATTTCATTCAATTAATTTAACTAACACGGACGTTTACTTAAGGTAAGTTTTTTTTATGTTTGTATTTAAGATTTTCCTTTAATGTTGCGGTGAAACTATTCTTGTTTTGATGCACTTTCTTGTAAAACCGGAAGGGATTATGACGCCCTTTCACTGCATTTATTTTTTATGTTTCGAAGTAGTTTGTTAATTTTATTAAACTAATATAAATAGGACAAAACTGCTATGAAATGTGGTTTTATATTTATTTTCTAAATCTATTTCATTCAGGGTTTTACCTTATTTTTTGATAATTGTTTTATTGGTATTTTAATTTCATATTAAATTGTTCATATTTTAGGTATTTTTACAACTCGCCAGCAATAGGATTTCAAGTATTTTTTTTCATAAAAATAACAAACGTGCAGTAATTTTCGGTCCAGTGTTTTTTAAGTACGAGCGGGTCTTAATTTTATATAAAAACTGTGATTTACTACCTAATCAATAACTCTACGGGCAAAACTCAAAAAATAATAGACACCTTGCACTTGAAACGTTACTCTTCGTTAATTTGGATTGTAGCCAACTGTTACAGTGTACCAAAACAGTGTTTCAAATTATATCTTTGAAAGTAGAAAGGTGTAAAAAGGTTCAGCAGTCAATTCACATAAGTCAAATACATTTTGTGATGAATGGGATATTATCAAGGTTGATTGTTCGAACATTATTGTAGGTACACGTATATACTCACTCACCTAAAAGCTTGTCTTTATTGTTTGGTTTTGACATTTGTACATGTAAATACATTCTGCAGTAAATAACCTTAGACTGGTGATGATGATGATGACGATGATGAGTATAATAATTTGTTATAAAAAATATTTTAATATTTTAGACAAGCGAAAACGAGTTTTCATATTTGTATAATCAAAATTGTTTACGAAAACGGATTTAATTAAGAAGCGGTAATAGTTTAGAAGTTATTATAGCTTCGAATTGGTCGTAACTTAGTAAGTTAAATTTGAAATATCTTATTATAGTATAAACTAGTACTCGACTTGCGATAAACGAAACATAACTTAAATATAATAAAAAATGTGTAAACCTTACAAAATTAAAACAATTTTATAAAAAAATAAAATACTCAACCACATTTTCCAACATTAAAGCAGAGTTACGGGAAATTAAGTCGTAACAATTAACTAACTATTATCCAAAGTTTAATAAATCGTGATAATTATTATTTTCGGTTTTATTTCAACTAAACTTCAATAGTATACTCAAACCAAGCGTCATTACTGGCATCTAACTGGGTACATATACCGTTATTTGTGAATAATAAATAAATTACAAGCGACGTCTGTTGCATAAATTCGCAAACTCGACAGGAAATCTCCCACGACTCTAGGACTGTTTTGTTCAAGATAGAGACACCAGCTCCTTCTTTCTCCAATTCTTTTGTTTCTTTTCTTATTTGTCCTATTATTATTCTGTACTATACTGTCAACTTATTTGATATTCATTAATTTAAAATAACAAAATCTCATGAATGCGTAATAAAATGTTTTTCAATTCATACACATTCTTTTATAGTTGACCGCACGATTAGCGCCGGTTCTGTCACTGTTCTCACGACCTAATTACATTAATTTACACTCATAGATGTAGCTAAAAAAAAAAGCGCGTGTAATCGGAAAAATGATAATGTTAATTCTTATCGCATCATAGACAACTGCTTCTTATTTCGATTTTTTTTAAAACTCACAGGATTACCATAAACCTTTTAAAGATATACCTATCAATTTTAATTAATATTTCCGAGCAACTAAATTACAGCGGCCGATAATAAAAGCAACCCGAAAATCAGTATAAAATGTACTAAACTTGTCTCGACTTCAGATGTTGCAGTAATCTGGGAATATAAAGTTTAAATTTTGTCTAATCTTCGCGATTGCAAACTTTACATTTGGCTAATACAACTTTATTTGAAGGAACGTGAAACTTATTTGAATTAAGAAAAGTTTTCGCTCGTGCAAGTCACGTTGTAGAATATTTCATGGAAAATGAAAGCGCAGTATTGCTTTTCACACAAGGGGAGTAACAGAGCAGTAGATGCAGTACGGCTATTGCAAAATGTATCATTCAGCTAAAACAATTTCAGTACTGCATTGTCTATTACTCTACCTCACTTTATTGTTCACGTGTTAACTGTCGTAATTTAAGGAGATGACATTTCGTGCTTGATGAAAAAAGATGAATAATTTCTGAGGTTGTTGAGAAATTGAACTACGGAGATAACATAAATACCAAACGTATGATAGTGCAGTGCTAACACTGGATAATAAACGAGAATTGGTGTTTAATGCGGTCTAGATTTTCTTAATGCTAGGCTAATTACATATTTAGAACAATCAACAATCATTTGTAGCGTAGACGTAACTTTATACGCCTACGTAAATGGACGTTTATAATCGTAGAAGGCAAGAGCTGGGTTATTGCACAAATGGTAGTTACTATGCTAGCTTTGCGTAAATTCGTTGTTTGATACTAAAAGGCAACTTGATTTAATAAAAAATGAAATCTTGCTAATATTATAAATGCGAAAGTTTAGATGGAAATTTGGCATAGACATAGAGGACAGTCTGGAAGAACACATAGGCTACTCACTTTAGTTTTTTTTTTAATTTAACGCGGACGGAGTCGCGGGCGAAAGCTAGTACTATAACAATTATTTCGCGCGATAAACAAACTCATCTCTATTTTATCGCATTAATCTTATTTCTTACTAATATTATAAATGTGAAAGTTTTGATGGTTGGATGTTTGTTATAGTTTGTAGCCCAAACTTGTAAGCGGAGTTCAAAACAATTTAACGTACCTAAGTGTCGAGAATAGTTTGGGAGAACACATAGACTACTCACTTTTATTTTTTTTAATTAAGGACGGAGACTACGGCCAACGCTAGTATGTTCATGTGTTTACAAAAAAATCTTGAAACACTAAATGACTGGTCCAAAAACATTCAATACCCCTAATGATATCTTTGTATTCGTAAAGACTTGGCCTAATTCCAGTTTCGTCGATTATGAAATTTTTAATGTGAAACATTATATTGAGCTGGGCTGTAAAAGTTTTAAACATAATAAAATGAATAGGTATTGCAAAACAGTTTCCGAGATTTAATATATTTGTATTATTATTTCTGTTACGATAATTTTGAGAAGAAACATAAATATGTACTGCATGTATGCCTATTAGGGTGTAACATTACACCAGAGAAAAATCATTCTATGTGTAAGTACGCACTTTCTTACCTTAGATTGCTTTTCTTCGCAAAACTTAAAAAAACAGTTTTGTGGTAACTTTTACTTTGTCTCCAACATAAGAATCCTTCCGGCATTCATCGGTCGACATATTTTCTTAGCATTCGTGGATTAAAAAACATTAATCCTGAAGATAATGTCTTGACGTGACTTTCATTTTGCATTCATAACTCCAGCCTAAAAATATAAAGGATATTGTCAATAAACTCTATAGACGCGGTGCAAATGACTGATATCAGCTATTCGCAAGGCTTATATTAAAAAAGACGAGAGCTTTTCAACGGTTTTTCATAACAAATTCCATATTGTTTGTTATTTTGCAGAGCGTGCGGGTAAAAAATAACAGAGCTTTGTAAAGCGACACTTGGGCGAGTTGAGGCTGCAAATCGTCATGATTAAAGAATTATTTCAGTTCAACGGTGTTAAAAATTTATGCGATTTTTAAACATACAAGAAGACTTTAAAGGCTGTTTAATGTATGTTAACAAAAACTACAGCTCAGGGTTTTCGCGATAAAGTCTGAAATGAAAGAATTTGATGAAACTTTCGGCTTAAAAGACACGTGTAAAGTCGCGGCGCTTTGATAGTATACTCTCTAGGAATATAAAACTTGTTTCTATGGTTAAAAATAGCTATCCAACAGAAACTTCTTTCGTTATGCTTTATTATACGCTAAAGTCTAAAGAATGGGCTCTAAAGAAACAACGTACGTTATTAATAACTACAAACTTTTAATAATAAACTTATCTTCTAGACTTTAGGAAGTGACTTTAAAAATCTTGCAGCAATTTAAATATTAAAATGTGTTATTAAAAGACTCAATACTTTAACACTTTGCTACTTTATTAAAACGCATATTGCATATTTAAAGTTTAAGGTTAGGTTCGGTAGACATTTTGCAGTAGTCACTGTCGCACCAGTGGAAATAAAAAAGGCCCACAATAATCCGTCACCAGTATTGTGGCCCGAGACGGGCGACCAGCCGTTTGGTGCAAATTGGACACAACTCGATCTTTGCAACATTGGCGTTTTTTATTTAATAAGCCAGCTAATTTACAATAATTTGTGGTGAGCTCATCTTCGTTTGAGATGTCAAGAACCGCAGACTGTTTAGTTAATTGTCATGTCATAAATTATTTTTTTCACATAATTTGCACATTATTGTAATCGTGGTTGTTAATTGATTTATAGATAGATGAGTGGAGTGAGTGAACGAAGATATGTTCTACACAAGGCCACAAATTCCGTATACGAGCGGTGATGCGTAAATTTACGATTGTACCCAACCGTCCGAGACTCGTTTTATTACATGTCGCATATAAATAGGGTCAACATAATTTTAGTTAAAAAATAGGGATAATTCGATCAAAATGGCTTGATTTAAGACACGATGTAAAGTTTAAACGCCGTCAACACATGTTGCGTCTGGTGTTGCGAATGTCCATGGAAGAATCATATAACACTAGATGTTACGTTGTATAGTGGTCAATTAGTAACTAAGCCTTATTACATAAAATTTATATTAGGGACTGCTAGAGTAATATTTGTTACTTTTATTTAAATGTCTCCGTGTACTTAAAATAGATTTTCAGTGCCATACATTTATTGGATTTCTTTTATATAAATATGTTTATTCTACGATAACAAAATGTCTTAAAAATGGAGATCGTTAATAAAATTGATAGAGTCAATTCAAAGAAGTTATTTTTCTCTACATTTCAGTCGTCAGTGAGCCAATAAAGTGTCAATCGAGATAATAAGTTATTAGTCTTCAGATATTATATCAATTTAATATATCAAGGCTACATTAAATTATTTGTACGTATAATAAAATTAGATAAAAGGATCACTAGCATGTTGTCACATTTTAAAGTAATTATTAGTTTCTTTTTAGTTTTTTTATTACGATTACATTTCATTCAGTAAATAGTAAAGAAAAAAGAAAAAAAGGTAACATAAACGTCTCATTAAAAAACTTAAAATCTCCTCACATTTTCTTTTGAAAGTGTAAGCTCTAAAGAATTCTCTGTATTAAAAACCAAAACACTCAAAAGGAGAAACTCTTCATAAAATCCATGCATGTGTTTTAACAACATTCCAAAAAAAAAATGCAAACAAAATAATTGTGACATATTTTTCAAGGAAAGTTTTATTTTAAATGAAAATACTATAATTACAGTTGTTAACATTTAAACAGTGCTTTAAGATATTGTACCAGAATTGAAAAAAGTATGGTAACACTACGTAAGCTTCTAACAGATTTTCGATAGTCCTGATTTACTGATATGTATTGGGATCTTTGTTTATAAATGGCTGCAAATAAAAATGGCAAGGATTAATCTTAATTTTTGTCTATGGTGCTTTTGTTTACCGAGAACGATTTGCTTCTATGTATTGTTTTAATGAGAATGTTTCAAACCACATCTTTTATATCGTTTACATATTTTTTTCATGACTACTCTTTAGAATAATGATGGTTTTTAATCACAGTTTTAATTTTTAACAGTTGCTATAATATTATAAACTTCGTTTACTTGTACGTTCGTTTATCACCAATTCATTTTACAAAATGATCATAATTACCATAGGATCAAACGACACACATATTTTACAGTTCTGTCGAAATAAATAAGCTTTGTTATTTTTCGACCACGCGGTTACTGATCATACTAATAATATAAATGCGAAAGTTTAAATGGATGGATTTCGATGATTTTTTTTTATTCCACGCGGATGGAGTCGCGGGCGAAAGCCAGTATGTAAATAAAGCAAACTTATTCAAATTGTAACAATAATAATGCTTGTATCATGTCAATGAAAAGTAGTAAAATGTACTAGACATAACACATGATAAACGTTAATATTTTTAGACATTATTTTTTGTTTATTTATACTTTTTATATTGAGTTTCTTCATTAAACATAGCGGCGATATAAATCATGTTTTCAGCTATAAAGCATGGCTTTCATCAGTCCGTTCGATATTCAGAAGCGTAATCTTAACGAAAACCAGCCCCTTGTTTCTATGAATGTAAACATTGGTCGAGAAGTTATTGTGGTTATTTTTGAGAAATAAACAAAATTTCAGATAACAAATTATAACTAAAATTGAATTTAAATAAATAGGATAATCTTAACCTTGAGGATAGAAATATAAGAATGTACCATGATGGTTTCCACTGTCAAAAAATAACTGTTGTGTTTTTTGGTTGCTGTTGGCTGTAACGGCTGATGTACCTAGTTGTTCTCGTTTTAGAAACTGTATTGTCAGTTCCCTGTCCCTTTCATGAATTAGGAATCTTGTAACCAAGAGTGTAATTACTCCCGTGTCCTTATGCATTTAAAGCAAAAGTATAGTACTCGTATAGTCATATATTTTGTACTTTGTACTCTGCTTCATAAATGATACGATCGCTGCAATAAAAAATTATTCCTATCAATATATCTGAAATAACTACCGCTTATAATAGCATTTAACAATTACGTTTTTAAAAATCAGAATAAATTTTTATCTGTTGTTAACAAATAATTACGACTTTGTCTACATTTATGTCTAAAAGTATACCTGTCACTTTGTTTCATCAAAAAATAAAAGGCTAAGGTATAAGCGTCTAGTCAAAGGCTTCCAAAGCTGGTGCCTGAACAGTTTCTCTCAAGTACAAGTAGTCAACAATAACGTAAAATGAAAAAGGGAATAAAACTTGTTTATATTTGTATACGTTAGGTACGCACCTAGATATTCTTTGACATTTATACTCCGCGTGTTTTATTAGAAAACTAGCTTTTTCTCGCGACTTTTTCCACGTTAAATTGAAAAAATAAATAAATTAAAAAGGGTAACTTACTGACAGATAAATTACCTTTCTAACGGTGTAAGAATTTTTTAAATCGGCCAATTTCTGAGTTATTTCGATACATACAAAATTACAAATCTTTCCTCTTGATAACATTAATATAGACGAGCTGTTGCCCGCAAACATTGTTAACGCAAATTTGAACCACCCGTTACGACATGTTGACAACGCAGAATTAATAAAAAAGTAGCCTATAATACGTCTATTCGTGTCAGCTACTCTCCAGTGAAAGTCCCGTCAAAATCAGCCCAGTCGTTTCGGAGATTAACCGAAACAAATGCGACTTTCGGACAGACAGAAAAAAATATTTTAAATGCGATTTTCTTTAACAGTAACGCAAATCTTCATCTTCCTGAAATCTGGGTTTTTTTCTTTTGATATTACAAACAGACACTCCCATTTTATTATATATGTATAGATTAGATACAAATTTCGATACTCCGAAGCCTTTGGGATTTATATTATGTAGATCTGTGGATTTCAAGTTCGCGAGCTTTTGTGACGTAGTATCTACGAGTACAGTAACAAGATCTTTTAATAAATTGTACCGACAACATAATATTGTAAGAATTTCTTTGTGTTGTTGAAAGCAAGAATATTTTAATAAATGAATATGAAAATCTCAATAAGTTATATGAAAAATACGACAAACTTTATTGCTGTTTTAATACTTTATTGCGTTGAAATCCACAAAACTTATTTAAGTCGATAAGTATCAAACTGTAGTGTGTGGTTTATATTTAACAGTATAATGTAATTATTACAGGGAAAAAGAACTTACTTTCTTAAATGAATTTACTTAATTCGATTACGATTCGTATTTCACGTACCTACGTAGTGTGAATAAATAAATAGGATTTAGTTAAGTAATTCGGCGCTTGAATCGTTTTAAATAGATTATCCTTTTCGAACGCTTTTCTCGTGAAGGGCTCCTTATAAATCTTAATAAGATTAAACTCAGTGATTTCTGTGTTAACGCAAGCGTGGTTAATAATTACACTGTCACTTGGTTATTTGATATTAACAAAGTCAGACAAGTGAACATTCGACTTTAGGCATTGTTTGGTAAAAATAATTGAAGATAAGAAACAAATAATATTACATTCATTTGTAAAATAAAACCTTCATGTTATTATGTACTAAATCTTTTATAACATGGGACGTACAAACGTTCAAAATAGGTTCTGGTCCCAAAGCACAATCTACCCGTAGACTAAGCAGGCACCGGAGGGCAAAATATTGTAAACAAGGGTATGAATATGGATGTTAGTTGTACTTACCAACTCAACGCCCACCTTACATCCTGCAGGTGCCTGGTCTCTGTCAATGTCAATCGAGTCAAGTTTATAGGCGCCAGCGATGCAGCCTGCAGATGCACCCGAGTGCACCGTTGTTGTTCCAAACGTGAAACTGAAAAACAAAGCGACGCCGGTCACTAATAAAATTGACACGCTCTGGTCCCGCGCCCGGCAAGGATTTATATCTACCCGCTAGTTCAATAAAATAAAAATCCGCTCGGTTACCCGCATTAACTCAGGCCGCGTAATCTAACTACATGTTTCTCGCTGAATGTGGCGAACCCATACAATCTCCACCGAACACCTTATTTAAATATATATTATATTACCGAGTTAAGAATGTTTTAACACGTGCTGCACCTTTAAAGAAGAAGAAGGACTATATAGTAAGATCCTCAATTATTATTTCAATATATTCGAAAAGAGACTTTGAAAGACAATGACTTGACAAGTGTTTGTTATAAATTAATTTGTTCTTGTTCACAGGTAGCCATCAAGTAAACCACAGCAATCATCTGTAACTTTAATGGCGTCATAGCATTGTTATATTTAACAGGACTCTTATGGTAAGTAAAATACTGTATACTTGACCTATATATCCATATATTACAACATGCTTTTAAGGTAATTCGTCAACAATCACGACCTTTGCGTACAAGGAGTCGCAGTCACCTGGATAACAATTACTGTAACTACAAATTTGAATTTTATCACAATGGAATAGGGTGCAATGGTTACGTAAAATGTTTCGCAAGTCACCTTAAATGTATGAGGTGTTAACCAAGTGAGATTCTGTCAGAGTACACTAATTGTATTGTTCTTGACTGTCTCATACATGTTGGAGTAGGTCGCTGTGGTTTATCATATGAACAATGCATAGAGGCAGATATTTAATATTAAATTATTATTACGAAACGATGTTATTTATTCTAAATTATTTAGATAATAACTCAAATTGTAGCTCTGATCGTAACGCTGAAAGATTCACGATAACCTATTAAATTAGTGTTTAAATGAAAAATTAAACTTGATAAAAAAAATGTGTCTTAAAGTCATTCTAATTATGCTGTAAGCTGATTATCTCTTACAACAATCATCCAACAGCAGGATTCAAACCAATAACCACGCGTTCGGATATATATAACCCATTAGGCATATTGTACACTGTGTTAAATTGTGTGTTTCTCATAGATGCCGAAATTTGACAATTGGATGTTACACCGGAGTGTTGAAGATGTGGCAATATCAGTTACTCCTCTGCCTTATCTTAGCAATAAAAACAAATGGATTGTACAAAGTTAGTGTGAATGCTATATTTTTTATCAGACATTGTCCCCTACACAAATTCGTTATGTCCGTAGATGTTGCATCGTATCGAGAAATTAGTATATTTAGTCACTTGTGGTTTGTTTTTAACTGTGAAATTTTAATTGTAATAGAAAAGTGTCTTTGTAGAAAGTAATGAAGAATTAAACATATCAATACTATTATCGCAATAAATTTTCTCATGCTGTTATATTGAAATGCATAGATTGTCTATTCTTTGTATATGTTTAAATGTTAATTGAAATAAGTCAACAGTTATTAAACTTTGGCGTTATAGGGAGTCCCATAATACTCAAGTCTGTGCACTTGCATTAAACGATGCATTTTGGGGATATAATAGCCGTTTGGCAAACGGCCAAATTAAAATATTTCTTTATTGATCAATAAAGCTGAATTGGCCGATTGTATGTTAAATGCATTGTAAAGGTTTGACCCAGTTAGGGAAAATGACCACTATGAAATAGCTATTGTGTACTATATTTGAACTATTGTAAGGTATCATTGTTAAAATTTCAGATTGATTTCGAACAATCGACAAAAAACGTTATTTTGGACGATATCAGTGAAAATTTGAATGGAAAGTTGAAATTCAAAGACTTTAGTCATGATAGAGGTAAGTAATGTTGATACAAAATTATATTAAAAAAAAAACATTAGTAAATGTTGCATTTAAATCTAAAAAAGCATTATTGTTTCCTTAGTAATACAATTTTGAAACCGGAATAAAATGCCTATAAAGGACAATAGTACATCTAAATTGTAACGTCAATTGTTTCAGGTACAAAGAAATTGGCAGCATACTCGTCATGGTCATCCTGGAGTGAATGTCAGAGAGGTCACAGGACGCGGCGGCGTCATTGTGTAAGGCGGAGAGTATGCGGCGATTCGCTGCGGGTTGAAGTTGCGAGGTAACCCTAGTTTCACAGCAGAGCAGTAGGTGCGGTACTGCTATTGTATAAAATAACTCTTACTGCTCAAATAGTCTTATCTACTTCGAGGATTAAGACCATGTTAGATGGACTATGGACCTATGGACTATCACTATTGGGACGTAAGCCAATCTTGCTTTTGCATATTAAACAAATTATTGTTTTAGCAGATTTGCGACAACCAAATGTGTTGTAAAGTAAGCTAGTTACTTCAAAATATATTCCGTGAGCAATTTGTGATATTCAATTGAATTTAGATAGATCGGTTTACATCGACGCGGTGTAGATGTTTGTAAACAAATACTATGCGAGTAATGTATTTGATAATGTACTTGAATCATCAAACTTTGTTTATCTCTAGATGCAGTACTTCAAGAGAGGGACAGAAACATTATTTTGCTACAAAAAATGAGACAGACTTTACACCAACTACGAAGAAACCAACTGTTCAGATTGTAATGGTAATTTATTTCAACAGTGTTTATAATTTACTAGCTTTTGCCCATGACTCCGTTCGCATGGAATTAAAAAAAGAAAACGCGAAAGTCAGCATCCTTCCAGACTTTGCTCTACTTCTATGCCCAATTTCATCGAGATTCGTTTAGCCATCGTGGCGGTAAACTGTAACAAACATCCATCCACCTATATTTTCGCATTTATAATATTAGAAATTTGTTTTTTTTTTCTTGTAAAACGCAACAACAAAATCTCAATACTACCACTTAGTAACTAGAAGTTGAGATCTAAATTTATCTTTAATCTAAAAAAGAAAATTTGTTTGTGAAAAAGCCATAGACAATATTTTATATGCTCCATCATGACGCTGTTCTGAATTTTTTACATCATAATAAATCATCCGCGAACCCTTTTCTTTAATATGGCTTTACCATCGGAATATCTTTGCTCTTCAAGAAAAAAAATGTTTTCTTTCCAACAGTTTGTTTACGTTGAATTTTTACAAGCTTTAAGCGAGATGTTTATGTACATAATTAGTATTTCATTTTTACCAAATTCTTTCTATTAAATACTAGGAATCATTTCGTACAATCTTAAAAATATTATAAGTGATTTCTACGAACCTCATTATTCAAATAAAAATTGCCTTTCGTTCATGTGACAATTATACGTTAACGTTTGTTAAAAGTTTACTGTTACTCGTACTTTATTAAGGTAATTTTTATTACAACATACCCGTTTACAATTTACTAATGTTTGTCGAATCTTGTAGGTAATTCTAAAATTATTATAAGAATCTGAATTTGATATAAAACATAGATAAAACACTGAGAATGTCGGATATGCTTTTCTTTTTGGAAAAATGTACGGTTCCCGTGGGGAATATTTATATTTGTTACTTATATAATATAACCGTGATACTAAATAAATCCTAAGTTTTTATACGCAGAAAACGTCAAAAGCATTACCTAGTGATCAAAGGAACCTTACTTTATTTTACTTAGAATAATTTGTTATTTTTTTACAGGCACAATTGCGTCAAAATGAAGACATACAAAGACAGTTTCGAGGTTTCTCCCCGTGGGGGACATGGACTGTCTGTTCACAGAGATGTACTACAGTTAGACGAAGGTAAAATGTATTGTTTTGGTACTTACGGTTTTCATTTGTTAAGATAAGATATTCTATTTGACACACACTTCCACACACAAAAAAGGTAATGTTTTGACTTTGACAATGCAACTTATTCCGGAATCAGCTGGACATCGCCATGATAATCGTTCCAAGGTAGTTTTAGTCCTTTTTCCTTTCCACCCTCTTCTTAAGAGGAAAGGATAGGAAGAAAAAGTGGATTTGACAGCGGAGGAAACCGACAGGGAGGGGAAATATCCTGTTTATCTGTGTCTCCTCTTCTGTAAATAAAAAGTAGGCAACGCATCTGTAATTACTGATATCGATGGGCAGCGGTCACTTCGTCATACCGGCGGACACAGGTGCCCGTTTGCTTCTTTGCCACCTTATGTTATATAAAAAAAAAATTAAGTATGTTGTCCAAAAGCGATATTATCTTTCGTTTGCAGAGTATGTCAGAATAGAGCGATATGCGGAAACAGAATTATAAGGCAGTCGGCGTACTGCTACTTGGAGGGTAGCTACTGCCATCTGTGGATCAGAAAGAGAATGCAGCGGCGAAAGGACCCAGGTGAATTGCATAGGTATCTAGCTAACTAATTCTATCTAATAAACTCTACTAATGTTGTATGTATGGTAATGCTCGCAAGAGTATAACAAAAAAAATCATTACCAGTACCGAAAAACTTGTAGAAAAATATATTAATCTGCAATTACGCCTAACAAAGTTATTAACACATAACTAAATTAATATAACATTGTCCAGTTTAAATCAAATAAGGACCATTCGACAAACATTTTAGCTTCAATTACAGATTATAGACCACACTGCATGATGTCAATTGTACTTTCAAAGATTTTTACTTTCAAACAGTTTTGTAGTTTTTAGAATACTTAAGTTTTAATAAATAAATTGTTCAATTTTAGAATACACAATAGCGGAAACTATGGCGCCTCCACCTAGGGCAATTCATCCGGAAGACACCCGGGCGTCGACGCAAGCGCCGCCTTGCGGACAGCTCGGGCGACCGCGCGGCCACGCACGCACGCGTACACGCATGCGAGACATGCTTCGCATCATCGGCGGCCGACCCGCGCCGCCTGGCAAGTGGCCATGGCAGGTCGCTGTACTTAATAGATATAAAGTAAGAAATGAATTATTTCTTAAGGATTTTGCAACAAAGTTTAACATTTTTCACTGCTATTAGAGGTTCAATTTATTTAAACAATTAATCCTGTTCGTTTTAGCATGAAGGAAAATTTCATGTTCTAAAAGATATGGTCGAAAGTTCAGAAATATAAGTCTAAAATGTGCAAGATCAAAATTGTTGCAAAATTTCACTTTATAATGTAGGCTCCTGCATAAATGTCGTCTTATATCTAAAGTGTTATACCTTCTACAAAATCCACTCAAAACTTGGCTATTCTGCTAAGAAATTTCTGGCAAAGCGCCAGTATTTACTCATTGTACTCTTTGCTATCTTCGCAAGGATTTTAATATCTGTTCCCTCGAGAGATAATATTTTAATAATGTTCGAAATAGGAAAATAAGTCAGCTCAAAAAAAAGTAGTGTTATTACCAATATCTATGGACATCTGCGACCCCGCAGGGACTAGTAATACTAATATTGTAGTTGGGAATGTTTATTAGAGTTTGGAGCCTAAACAGCTGAACGGATCTGGATGAAATTTGGTATAAACGTAGAACATAGTCGTTAACACCAAATGGGCGACTTGCTCATTTTTTAATTCGTCGCGGACGGAGTTGTGGACAAAGGCTAGTAGATGTATAATTCCAGGAAGCATTCTGCGGAGGTACGCTCGTGTCTCTGTGGTGGGTGGTAACAGCAGCGCACTGCGTTCGGCGGCGGCTGCTGGTGCGACTCGGCGAGCACGACCTATTTGTTCGCGGCCGCAGTGAGCTCGAGATGAGAGTGGTCGGCGCGGTCGTACACCCAAACTACGACCCCGATACTGTCGTCAATGATGTTGCTATGTTGAGGTTAGATTTTCATACAGTGCAGTACAATTACCACGGCCATACTCCCAATAAACAAGAAAAATATCATATACTAGCTGTTTCTGTGCGGCTTCATCCGCATAAAATTATAAAAAACTTTATTTTACTGTTCACATCTGTCAAATTCTCTATTATAAATGTCAAATTACCGTTACCATACTAGACTTACTTCCTTAATGTTGGCAGCTGGTGGTAATAGCCCCTTTTCCACATGAAGGTTTTTTCCAATTTATTTACCCCCTAAGTTTTATAGCTTAAAAATATATAGCCTAAAGCGTGTCGTAAGTGTAGGGCTTTTTATTAAAGAAAGATTTATTCGAAAATATGCTGTGATTAATAACATCTTACGCCACAGAGTAGCGTGTGTTTACGCTTTATTATAATAGTATAGATAAAGATTAATATTTTACTGGCACATAGAAAAACTTACTTTTGCTGAATAATCTTTTACAATTCCTACTTTTATATATTATCTAAGATAAGCACACAACCAATTATCTTTATATCAATACATCTAGAGTACCCAATAAAACATGTACGATAATAGTTTCATTTGTTAAATAATTGTGTGTTATGAATTTATTTTTGTCTCCAACAGTCGACAGATAATAAAAAAGTAAAGAATCTTTTTGTTTTCTTAGAAATAAAAAGACGAATATATTTCATTCAAAACATCAAGATAATTATAACAAGCCCGCTTTTTATGTTGTCTCATTGAGCACAAATATATTTAGCGAAGATTTTATTTGCTCATGTTATGAATGGAAAGCTCGTGTAATGAAATGTAGGCTCGGATAAAAGCAATTTACAATAAAATTATAGGACAACTAAAGGGCGTCTTATTTGTTCTGACGTAATATTTTAAGTGGCTTCTTAAGTCTCATAATAGCCGACCCTAGTTTAGAATAAATCTGTTATTATTTTTTTAGTAATCCTTAAATAGAAATGTATTTATATAGAAATGACGTTTACAATTTAGGATCTAATTTGATTACGGTTGTTGATACTTTATATTTATTGTGGCGAGTCAATTTAGTTTGATACTTTCAGCATTTATTCTTGATGCATAAATTTGAATATTGATTTACTTTACAGGTTACCTGCCCCAGCACGACCCGAGCTAGGCCATGGCATCGCGTGCTTGCCGCGGCCTGGTCACCAGCTGCCGCCGCATGCCACCTGCACCATACTGGGCTGGGGCAAGAAGAGAGCCACTGACGCACACGGCACTAGGATATTGCACGAAGCACAAGTGAGTTATCATGACAGAATGACGATGCAGTCGACGACACTGAGGGACCGTCAGTGGCCATCACAACACTCTAAGTGTGTCAGTAAGTTCTGAGTGTGTCCAGTGAATGTTTGTAAGAAGTAAATGTTTGATGTCATAGTAAGGAAAAAATAACATTTTGTAACTAATAAGTAGATAACTTTTAATAATGGAAAATGTTGTCGAACAGTTTATCTAATTTCTTGGGTATTGGCCAAGTTAATTTGCTAATATAAATTTCTGTAAAGCTTTTTTTCTAAATAATATTACTTCAAAGGAATGTGTTTTCTATATTCAAGAGATGTTTATAAGTGGATTAGCTTTTTTTTATTAGAAACTTGCTAATTACATTATATTGTTTAATTAAAAAATCTCATAAAAGTTTCACGATTAAAAAGAAAAAAACAATTTCCTGTCGTGCGACAAATGCGAACAGAATCGAGGCAATTTAATAATGGCGACCTCGTCATTTGCGGAGCAATTTTATTGTATTTGCCGAGTGTAGTATTTGCTTTTTTCTAATATAAGCAATATTGTCAGCGCAACAATGGAAAAAAAATTACTACACATCTAAAATTATACTTGCTTATTAATGTGTACGATGATTCGTTAAGCAAAGCAAAAAGTATTTATTACATCTGTAAACTCTTCAGTCCATTTAGAGCGCACACCTTTGACTAAACTTTCGCATCACTGTTTAGTCTCGCTTTGATTTCTACGAGCTCATAAGGAGGTGCATACACTACTTAATTTTTAGTTGTGCAACTAAAGAGACAATCGCACAAATGTTGTGTGTTATTGAAGGTGTGCGAACGACATTGTGTTTCAGAACTCTTTTTTTGATTTTACGAAAAAGCTAACGTTTTTATATACAACTCTAACAATGTCTAACCTAATACTGGCAGTAATAACTTCTTTTGTTTTCTTATAATTTTGGTGTGTCTACCTTTTCCCAGGTGTCGACAGTACAGCAAGGTGTGTGCCGTCGCTCGTACTGGCAGTATGCGATCACTGACGATATGGTGTGCGCGGGCCGTGGCCGCCGGGACTCCTGCGCCGGAGACTCCGGCGGCCCCCTTCTCTGTAGGGATAGGAACATGAGGTACTACCTACAGGTAAGATCGATTAGTATTACTTTGTCTTGCCACCACTACTGATGAATGTAAGCTTTCCATTATTTTAGTTACAACAAAATGGGATCAAACAATCTAGAGCCTTGTTTTTGTAGAATGATTATAACAATGATTTTTTTATTATTTTCCCTTAAGATATTACACGTCACATGTAACCATTGAGATTAGTTTTATTATTATACTATAGCCATTAACGACAGCTGTTACAGCTCTTAATACGAAAGTTATTCTTATAAGACTAAACTCTTATTAGACTGAATTGAAGTTTTAATCGTGTTTATTTTTGTTTAAATTGCTCTTGCGAGAAAGTTGCTAATAACTAATTAAAGTTAAGTCTTGTGGACCTTGCCAATTAACAAGAGATTTGTAATATCAGTATAGCATAGTATAGTATCAGTACAGTATAGCATTCTAGTAAATGATGTTTACGTATATTGTCAGGGTATCACCAGTTTTGGTGATGGTTGCGGCAAGCGTGGCAAGTATGGCATCTACACGCGCACTGCAGGCTACGTCACATGGATGAGGACTGTTATGAACGAAAAGTACTTTGATGACTGATTTTATAATGGAAACAATTAAATTAAACTAATATAAAATTAATGATTGTTTTATTGAATTATCATACCATTAGTTATTAATGTTGTCAGTTTTTACGCTGCCGTAAATTTAATTACAACTCGAATTGAATTAAAAATCAGTTGAAAGAACTTTATAAATTATTTTTCCTTTTTATGTGTAACTGTTGGAATGTTAATAAAATCGTTAAAAAAAATTACGCGCAACTCTCGTATTCAAAGAAAAACTTTTAACTAAGTCATACTCAAAGTTATCCCTTCGTCAGAGTTGTTTATTCATCTGTAATATTACATTTATTTCTTATTATAAGTTAGAAACTAAATTGCTTTCTACCTTAACTTGATAAAATGAATATAACAAAATCTAATTTCTGTATATTTATAACCTCAAAATGTGAAAACATAACCTCAAAGGTAAATTAGCAATCGAAAGTTTTTTAGCATATTTAAGGGAATGCTAGATAAATTATTTTATTCTAAAAGCATTGCGGTGACGTCATTCTTAGGGTTTAATGAGTTTTAGCTGTTGGTTTTACATTCGGGAAAACTGTAAAGTCTATTAATCTAATTCCAACGTTTCTACTTTAGACGTAATAAATTTACACAGAGTCGTACTGTACATATTAATATGAAAGGGTTTACATATTAGTGATTTTGTTGAAATATAACCCAATTTAAATATTATCCATCCGTAGTCGATCTTTCTTTTAAGAAATACGTTGCATTTCTCTACGTCTTTTGATAATTATAAAATTCAATTTCTAACATTTTTAAGCTCGTTATAAAAGCAGAAAGTAATAGAATTTATTTAAAAGATGTCTTAAAAATTCACTTAAAAACCAACTCGTTTCAACTTATATTAAAGCTATGTTAAGGACGTATGTCAAAGCAAAGTTGCTTTCATGAAATGAAAATGTACTAAGATACATTTTAAAACGACATGTACGATACAAATTAGTTTCGTATGTAAATCTCGATTTGCTTTTTAGAAAACATGTCGTGGAAAACTCAAAAATGAACTACGTTCTATTTGATTAATAGCAACACATGAAGAGCCTTCAAAATACTTGTTCGATACAGATTATAAAGTTATCTGTACCAATATTATAAAGAAAGATCAGTATTTCTGGATTTTTGTATGTATTAAAATAATTTAAAAACTTTTGGGGTTGTTTTCAAAAATTCTTTCACCAGTAAAAAGGTACGTTACTGAATAGCGTATGTTTTTTTATTATTTTTTAGTTTACGTGGACGACGTCGCGAGCAACAACTAGTTTAATATATAGCTTACATTTCGCGGCCTAGGTTATTTCGGGTACTCGGGCGCATTTTTATTCGCTCGAAAAGGAGGGTAGTTTCGAATCCCTCTGTGGTTCGGTTTAGTTTTATTTACATAAGTACGTTGTCGCTTTGAATTTCAGTTTCGCGTTTAGAACAATATCAGTGCATACAGATGCATCTGCAGGCAGATTCGCTGGCGCCTACAGACTTGACACAACTTGACTCGATTGACACCGACAGTGACCAAGCACCTGCAGGTGAGGCGGACACCAAGTAGGTAAGTACCTACCATATCCTTCATCATGTCTTTGTTAACAGTATTACGAGTATGTACACCGAAGTGTGTGCGTAGTTTGATTATGCCGCAGGACCCGAATCCGCGGCGTTCGGCACAATTCGATGGTAGCAAAGCGTGCTTCGGTTACACGTTGGTTATGACCGGTTATTGCATCGGTTAGCATAATATTGTAACATCATTATCGTGCGGAATATAACAATGCGTCTTTTGAATACTGATGTTATTATTGTAATTCTAAAGTGAGTATCATCATCATCCATTCTCTGTCCACTGCTGGACATAGGTTTTCCCTAATTAAGACTTAACAACAATTTTAAGTCTATCGTTTCGAGTAAAACCGAAATAATGAAAGTAATTCAAGAAGAAATTAATTCGCTATCTTTGTGCCAACGCGGAAAAATATCTTCTGAATAGAATACTTTTGGTTTTCTGCCAAATTTGTCAATGATTATGCGTTCAAATTAATTATTCTTTGTGAACATCAATCTCGTTTTATTTCGCTTTTACGTTGATATTTTTCTACGTGTTATGTTTTAGGATTAACTTTAAATAAATAACATAAATAAAAACGTATAATGTTACATAAAGTTTGACTAGTTTTTATACAACGATATTTTTCTTTTATCAAGTCGCTGTATTTAATTTTTAAACATCATACTTTGGGAAAGTAACATAATTTTTCTTGAATTCCTATTTAGTTATAGTAAAGACCTTTATATTTTTATTAAAATATCTACTAATTGGTCTTAAATTCCATGTTACAAAATTTAATAGCATCTGAATAGTTATAATTGGACTTGAGGGAAATATCTGTTTAAAAGTTTTCTGTACAACGACTTTACTTACAATAAAGTTAGCGAGTGAAGTTTTTTCTTTCGTCGAATTGAATTTAAGAATTCATAAGAATTTTACTTCGTAGTTTAATAAAATACCTTGGTATTACGATTGAAAGTATGTACTTAATGTAAGTCGAACTTTAATACATACTTACATACTAATATTATAAATGCGAAAGTTTAGATGTTTGTTAGTTTTTGTAGTCTAAACTGTTAACAAATCTCGATGAAATTTGGTACAGATGTAGAGGTTAGTCTGAAAGTACACATAAACTTTTGTTTTTTTAATTCCACGCGGGTAGAGTTGCGGGTGAAAGCTAGTACATATCATAAATAATACATATACAGGGTGATTCTTAAGCCACGGATCAACGGATTTGTGAAGTTTAAACACCACAATAGCTATCTTTAAACTTCACAAATCCTTTGATCCGGCCGGTAAGAATCATATTATACCCAACTTACTTTAAAACTTGATAAAATTTAGAATACAAAATCCAAATTCATATGTATCCTTAACAAGAAATATTTAACTAAATTGGAACAATTGGTATCAAAGAGTATGCTGGTAACAGATGCCTTAAGCCTTTTGTTGCAACTTTTGTTGTAAACATTAAAAGACTTATTTACATTTTGACATCCTTATATTACACTTATATGTATATTACAGCCAGTATATATTAATTGGAGATCAAACCTCCTTATCAATCCACAACACCTTTTGAACGATTTTCAATGAATAAATTTCACTATATGGAGTTGTTATAAGAATTCTACATTTGTTATTTTAAAGATAACGGACAAGTACAACAAAGTTTTCTAACAGTACCACTGATGGTTAGACTACTAAGCTACTTTTACCTATCGACCCAGACGACTGACCTTCAAGTGATATTGTCAAACAGTTAACACAAAGCTTTTATCAAGTTCATTTATGTCTTTGAATCATGGTACAGTATCTATATAACGTTGTATGTCTATAAGGGTAATTAGATACATTAGATCATCGAGATGTCTCGCTTCCTTCGCAGTATTCATGTCTGAAAGTCACGCTACTTTGGTTGTTTGTTTACAACACAGAGTACATTTAAACATGCATATGTACTAATGTTCAGCAGCGGCCAGACAAACACTTATAATGACGATGTACTATATCTTTTTGTCATATCGTGCAATTATGTCTTATTTGATTTTAGTATGCGGAAAAGTTAGCTTTTTACATCTTACTAATATTATAAATGCGGTAATTTAGATGTATGTATGGATGTTTGTTAGTTTGTAGCCTAAACGGCAAAACGGATCTCGATAAAAATTGGCATAGCCGTAGAGGATAGTCTGGGTGAGCACAGACGATACTCACTTTTGTTTTTTTAATTCTACACGGACGCAGTCGCGGAAGAAGTTAGTTGTTTATAATCATATGTTTGTTATTATTTGTGTTTTACACAAAGAAAGGCAACGTTGAATATGGCTCACTTTTTATGATGTGCATATGTTATGCTTTGGGTTCGTCTAGTTTTATCGCTAGTCATCTTTGCATCATAATTCTCAGCAAAGGATCGGTATGAAGGGCGCTCAAAGGGCGGGCGAAGCTTAAAATTTCCTGAGGTAACGTGTCTTATCATCAATATTACGGTCCATAACAAGGTCAGAGTTAAACATTGTATTGAATGAACGAGCTGAACATCTTTATTTTTACTTGTCAAATAAGTAAATATAATTTAATTTGAACCACAATATTAAATGTGGCAAGTATTCTTACTTCTTATCTTACTAATATTATAAATGCGAAAGTTTAGATGGATGGATGGATGTTTGTTAGAGTTTGTAGCCTAAACGGCTGAATGGATTTCGATGAAATTTGGCATAGCTGTAAAGGATAGTCTGGAAGAACACATAGGCTACTTTGTTTTTTAATTACACGCGGAGAGAGTCGCAGGCGAAAGCTTATTATTATATATTATATTTCTCTTATTATTATATATCAAAAAAATAATTCTTAAAATACGAAAAATAATAAAGGCCAGCAAAGGTTCAATTTTAGTTGATAAGTCCTTATATTTACAGAGCTCGAGACAACAGAAAAGAAAATGATAGATGGTATTTCGATTTGGGTCACGTCCAATACAATGAAATGTGACTGTTGTTAAGTAACATTAATGTTTTTATAGATGCTTATATTTTAATAATTATTCTGCTCACGGAAATAATTTCTTTATGTTTGTTCTTTACGTTATTTGATTACAATTTTCTGAGAACATATTCTATTCTTGGAGACCTCCAATAAAAATAATACAATAAAGAAATCTGCTATTGTATTTCACAAAACAATAACAATATCCAAAACGTATAAAATACAAAATTAAACAATTGTACAATTTTAACGATGTACAAAATGTTTCTCTACAAAAGATTTTCACAAGTAAGTTTCAATTATAAAGCTATCATTTTGGTAGTTAATGTCTCATTGGTTGAATTTCGTGTTATTTCTACTACCCACGGAACAAGCCTCCATACTCCTGTGTATTGTGCTGTGGATTCGTTACTATTACTTCTTCCCTTCTGAAAAGATATACGAAAATGTTGCGTAAAACAAAAGAAAGAAAGGGCTTCTTAACTAAATTCAAGAGATAACTAAAATCTCGTTAGATTTTAATGAAGTTTTTTTTTAGTGTGTATGTAATAAAAAATTTTATTCGTACCTGCAAAGATAGGGCCATTAATTTTCCTTGAACTAGTAATAGGCTACCGTGCGACGTATCTTTTTTATCTCCCATGTATGGAAGTGATAAGCAATATATGTTTTTGACATTTAATTCTCTCTCATATTCTTCATTACTGAAACATTAAAGTATTAAAGAAATATGTTAGCAAATCCAAAATATTTTTATATCGTACTTTACTTGATTTGAAAATTAGGTTAGTTAAGAAATACTAACTTGTGTTCTCCTTGTTTAGGGCAAGATTTAGGGAATATTAAGCCTTCGTAAGCCACTAGAGTGCGTTTCGGTAGATGATAGGAAAGATATCTTGTATTGTATCTGGAAAATATATACCTATGTTTTTATTACTAATCCAGACCAGACTTGTTACATGAAATATTATTATACTTTACACTATTTCAATCCTGCCTTTTATAAACCTCTACATTTTATTGTAAAAGCCATTGTGGTTTTATACATTACTACTGTATGATGCGAGTATTATTTCTATAAGAGCCTTTCTTACTACTGGCTGATGGAGGCTCCATCACATATTTTACATGTTGGATTATTATGAGACAATTTCAAATTTGGTGGGACAGGTCCTAAGTGTTTCAAAATTAAATCAACAGGTCGCTGTTTTTGTCAATTACCTATCTAGACCCCATCCTATAGCCGTAGCAGGAAAACCTTTTTCGTTAATAACAAATTTATGCGACACAAGAGATATGGGCGACCATCCGACGCAGTTGTTTATCATAGAAGTTATTACTTGTACTGCACCTGTAAATGTCACCATTATGTCTTATACAAGAAGATAAAGAAGCTAATTATTGGGAGTAGCATCTGCTATATGTAGAGTTACAAAAAATAGAGTCTTGTTAGAAGACTTTACTATACCTATATTATAATGATGTCGGCGCGTTTTATCACGATTACTATATGACGGATGTATCAAGCTACGTCGCACGTACGCGACAGATTCTGTTTCCCACCACTTGTCACTGCAGTAGGAAATGTAAGCAGAGCGTTCAGCCACCGTTTTGGTCTTGTGGTGGCGCGCGAGGCACGAACCAGCCGCTATCAACCAATAGCTGTTTATAGCGGCAGCGTCACAATAAATCTGCAACGAATGAACTAATAAAGTTTTCCCTAGATCATGTATCACTCTATCTATTTATACTATATGTTACAGGTGAGTTCGCCTGCGTAAAATTAAAAAAGTAGTAAATATAAAGCCTTTGTTACTCAGTGCTAACATAACTTTTAAATGGTTCAAGAATTTTTGAAATCGGTTCGGTAGTTTTTGGGTATTTAAATACATAGAAAATGCAAAAATATAAATATTTCTTTATAATATTAGTATAGATAAAGAGAAAATACTAACAGACAAAGGTTCATAAATGTAAGCGGCTATGTAAGGAAATTTAGACCAAACATTAGGCGTCCTTTTGCATACCGCAGAAGTCGTGCTAACTTCATACTGAGCTTTAGCGTTTAAAGAAAGTTTTTCGTTGGTTTTCGTTTTATATGTATCATTTAAAATCGTTTGTATTTTCTTTAATAAAATACCAGGTTCCTTTAAAAAGGGCGCAGGATTCTGTATACTGTTTAAGATGTTCAAGCTTTGACTCTGTTCAATGTCACTGTTTACTATTTGAGTCTTATTATCGCAATCATTATTAGAACTTACTGCTATTACGTTTGGTAAATCTTCAACGATTCTTGTCGAAGGTTCAGTATTTTTGTCATACATTTCAAAAAACTTTATTCTATCATATATTGTCGTTGATTCTGTTGTTAATACTGCTTTATTTGTGCTTGATCGCACCAATCTATTAAGGGGGTCGTTAAAAAAAATACTGAACCATTGGGAATCGTTGTTGTTATTTCTGGCTATCCTTTTATTTGAAATCATTGCTGAAGTGTTCATAAGACTACGTAATTGATTGGTTTCGTTAGAGTCGAGGTTTCTATAATTTTTATTTAAATTTAAATAAAAGTTTGCAGAGTCTACATTATCTTCTTTAATGTTTTTATTGTTTAAATGAAAGGCAAAGATTGGTCGTCGTATAATTCGAGGCTTTAATTTGTCGCCAGCTTTATTTTGCTGTTTGCTTTCAACTTTCAGATCTTTACCTTGTGGATCAGTTACTTGATTGGATTTCACTTTTTGTTTTCTTAATTCTTCCAATTTATCCAAATAATAAAATTCAATACCACTAGGAGTCGTGCCAGAACTTTGGTTTATGCATTGATTTGTTGTATGCAGTACTGTAGTTAAACTTGGATCACTTGCTGGTGTCAATTGTTGGCTTGTAGTTAAAGCGTCAACATCTAAAAAAATTTTTGTTTTCCTCCACAAAACATTCACTATTTCATAGTGTCTTCTACTTACTTTATCAACTGTTGCAGTAGTTAAAGGTGAAACAGTGCTGGAAATTATTGGATCTTTATTTTTAGATATATCTTCATAGTCATATTTTCCTAAAGAATCTATGTAAAAGTTGCTACTTGCTTCTAAAGAATAAATTAGAGGAGCTAAATATATTGTTCGAAGAATGTAAAACATTTTTATGAATTCGTTAGAATGTAGATGTATGTAAATTCCCACATCACTGAATGATCAACAAATGATAAAAATCACATGGAATAATGCTTTTGGAGAAAAACTTTTGGATTTTATTTAAAACGGTTTATGACATCGACAAATAGCGACACAATGGAGTTTGACAGTGGCAGATATTTTACATCACGGTTCGTTTGGTTTGACGGTTTTGATATGATCATAAAGTCGCGATTTTACTATGTACATTTTGGGTTTTTATGAATTCACAAAAAATGCAGTACAGGTTTCAGGTATAGCGTATTACTTTAAATAATGTATGTCATTTAAATAAATAAAGAATAAATAGAGGTATATTAAATTTACATTTAAAAGAGGTTTTTATATGTTTTATGTTTTAAAATTGACAATGTCACTATCAAAAATGATTTCAGTGCAGAAAATTTGAAATCGTATTTAAGTTGGCTTTTTTAAATTCCTTAATCGCATATATGGGCTTGGCAAAATTATCAAATTAACAATAATTTTCAACAAATTCTTATTTTTTTTAATAGTTAAAAATTAACAAGAATGAATTCCGTGCCCGTTGCTTTGAACAAAGCCGCTATGCGGAAATACGAAGATCTGGAAATCCCGTGTGATTCCATTCTGTCGACTTATGTGTGGGTGGATGGGAGTGGGATAAACATGCGTTCCAAAGACAGAACATTTGATTTCATTCCTAAAACATATAAAGGTGAGATTCTAAATAAGTTAATAGCGGCATTTGTTACTCTCTGTCCTAGACTCAAATGCATAGTGTTATTAACATTTGCCCTTTTGACCTAAACTTACACAAAAATATTTCTTCGCATCGACTAAACTTCAACATATTTTACACTTACTAAACACGTTTAATAATCATGTTTTATCATAGATTTGCCTGTTTGGTACTATGATGGAAGCAATACTGCTCAAGCTAATTCGGATAATTCTGATACATTTATTTTCCCCGAAGTGATTTATCATGACCCCTTCAGACGTGGGAACAATATTATTGTACTAGCGGATACCTATCAGCATAACTATGAACCTACAAGTAAGTACACGAACACATTTCTTTTTTTTTTCACAAAGATAAAACTGCGTGGGCAGATCTACTGAAGTTTTCAATCTGTATATGTGGTTGATACATGAATGGTGTCCGTGCGGAATTAAAAAAAAAGTAATGCATACAGCCTCAGTGATGACGTAGCTATTATTGGTGAAAGAATTTTTGAAATTAGCCCCATAGTTTTTGAGTTAAGACATACAAGAATCCAAAAATCTTAATCTCTTCTCTTTACAATATTAGTATACATTAGTAGAAGTAATCATACTAATATTATAAATGCGAAAGTTTAGATTGTTGGATGTTTGTTAGAGTTTGTAGCCTAAACGGCTGAACAGATCTTCGATGAGATTTGGTACAGATGTAGAGAATAGTATGGAAAACACAAAGGCTACTCACTTTTGGTTTTTTTAACACCACGCGGACGGAGTTGCGGGCGAAAGCTAGTCAATTAATAAATTAGTAGATATCCATTTTGATATTTGGAAATAAAAATACTATGTATTTTATGTGCACCAATATTATTTTTTAAGGTACAAACCATCGAAAAAACTGCGTTTTGATATGCGAGAAAGGTGAAGTCGAGGAGCCTATGTTTGGATTTAACCAAGAGTTTTTCCTGACGACTACTGACGGCAGGCCACTCGGCTGGCCGCCGGGGGGATTCCCCGCACCCCCTGGACCGTATTACTGCGCTATTGGAGCCAATAAAATAGTAGCCAGAGATCTTATGGAAGCTTTCTTCAGGTATGATACAATGAATGAGTTGTGATTGTGTTTTAGAAGTCAGTCTGATTTATTTTGTGATTTCTTGAAATAAGTTTATAACTGGTAAACTTAACTGAAATTGAATGTTGCAGATGTTGTCTCTTCGCGGGTATAAAGTTAAACGGAATGAACTCCGGAACGACTCCTTCACAATGGAATTTCCAGGTTATTTTATAGATTTTCAGCTTTATGTTAGCTAACAATTTTATACTTACATTGAAAGTAATTATGGCTAGACGAGCTTCGCACAACTGCTACATGCGATCTGTATTTAGTGATTACAAAATAATTTGACTTAGGGTTCAAAAGTGTACTTTTCCTTTAAAGATCGTGAGAACAATCGCGTTTACAGTTGTTATAAGTGTTGATAAATATTAGTGCTTGTTAATACTAGTACACTAGTATACTTGCTCGTTTGAACCCTTTTGTTGAATGCTTGTTACCCAGGTGGGTCCTAGCCCTGGTATCCGGGCGGCAGACGACTTGTGGATGGCGCGGTACATCCTGTCCCGTCTCGCAGAAGAGTACGGAACTGTCGCTACATTCGATGCCCAGCCCGTGCCTGATTGGCCAGGGAATGGAACCTTTGTGTACTTCTCAACTAAAGATATGAGAGAGGACGACGGTATTCTGTATGTTGATTTTAACAGTAAAAGTATTTATAGTTTTAATTAACTAGGGAGCTTTAATTAAATGCTGGTAAATGTACACTAACAAATAGCATTATCTCTTGCAGCGTTATCGAGCGAGCGATTGACAAATTGTCGCGTCGCCACGGGGTTCATATAAACGAGTACGATGCGCACAATGGCGCCGATAATGTTCTCCGGCTGACGGGGAAGAACGGATTGCCACATCTACGAGACTTTACCGCAGGTGATTTATGACACGCATTGTATCTGCAAGTGGCAGTCATTGATGGTCTTTGAGTATGAACAATGATAGGAATTTAATGAAGAAAAGTGAACATTTTGCACTCTGTATTGGTGCGATTCTAGTTGGGAATAAGGAGGTAAAACTTTTACAATAGTGCTCAGGATATGCATGCATGCAAAAGTGTTCAATACTAACAATGTTTTTTTTTCTTCACCATCTTTTTGATTAAGTTGTATTAGTTTTTATTCCTATACTTTTTGTCATCATTTCCTTATAATTTGTGCATTCCAGGCGTGGCGAATCGAGGTTGTTCAGTACGCATTCCCCGCCAGGTGGCTGAAGACAAGCGCGGCTACTTGGAGGATCGCCGGCCGGCCGCCAACGCGGACCCCTATAGAATCATCACTATAATGCTTAGGACATGTGTTTTCGATGAATAATATTGTCAGTGGTTGTTTTGTCATTGTTGGTGGTTATTTCAGTCAATAAATAAATTGAAATCGATGTTTCGCCTTTGGTTTTATTCACCTTTGTACTTATTTTTTAAAAGCTAAGATAACTTATTAATCGCGTAAAAAGTGAGTTAAATGTTAAATATATCACAACTAATGTTTTAAATGTTCTTGAATTTGTTAAAATATTAATATAGATAGGGTGGATATATGCAATTGAATTTAATCTTACACAAGATGCAAAAAAGATGAAAAGCTCATTAAAATGATTTTAATATTTTAAGATGGATAATTCTGTCAGTTTCGAGCATTAATTTTACTAACAGGGGCTCGGCTGAGAAATTGAAACAAATGCCTGTCGTTATCGCCGGAGGCGCAAGAACAAACTACATTAAGTACGAGTACTTAAAGGGCAGAAGTCAGTGCGATAATTCAGAATAGATTGGTTTATCCAGTTTAATCATTTATGGTAATAAATTGCCTACTTTCGATTGTCTTTCTTATGTTGTACTTGTAATAATTGAGATGCGCAGATCATTTTCCTAGAAGTATATGTGGCGCGGGGGCGCGACAGAACAGATTTTTGGCAGCAGTTTGTTGATGACGACTAACATTTAATCCGCTGCATGTTTTAATATTCCTCCAGGTGTTGGATTTACGATGTCTAATTTTAGCTTATTATAAAAATGATGGCGTTTACTACTTATACCAGATCGTGGTGCGTTTAGAATAATCCAACTTTCCAACCTTCCAACAAATTCGTCGATTAGTTGAGCAATTAATTGGTTGACCAGACCATCCTCCATTTGGTGCAATCGTCTCGTGTAACCTGACGGGATGATGACGTTAATTTTTTTTTTAAGTATTGAGAGTCACGAGTGTTCTCTCTTGTTTAGTTTCTTATCTTTGTTAACAATGTAAATCACAACGAACAAATGGCCAAGCTCTCGAGTTAATAACGTTATTCGCACCTGTAACTAAACAAGCAATTAATTTTAATTAAGGATTCTATTTCCGTCGGTTATCGTGTACTCACGGCTCGTGGTGATTTATTACTTAATGAATCAGTATTTAGCGTTGAGTTCTTATTGTTTGTTTTACTGGGTACAACGATATTATTTTTGACCGACTTCCCAAAAGAAGGAGGTATTCAATTCGACCGTATGTTTTTTTTTTTTTATGTGTGTTACGGCATAACTCCGCCGCTAGTGGACCGATTTGGATAATTCTTTTTCTATCCGAAAGGTAATGCTTGCA